ATACGCGGTTTTGTATAAATTGGAATAAGCGACGGTGGGAATTACTAGACGAGGTTTGATTGGGGCAATCGCCACCTTTCGTCCTGTACTGTTCATACATTGTCGCATTATTGTTCACCATAGTAAATGTTATTTTCTTAATATGTACCTAATAATTTACCACGCGTTCTTTTACCTAATTTTTTTAATTAAAGAAGTAATATTAATATAAAAATTAATTAAAATTAGATGAAAATGCACGTGACAGATATAATTATAATGATGAGCAAAAATACTTCTGTTCATACCTAAATACGAACCCTTTTTCTTCTTCTTCTCTTGTGTGAAATTTTATATATTAATTATGGAATTTTATGGGCGGAAAATGGAAAGGTCGGCGGCTAGACGTTGTTGTTGGCTGTCCAATTTTAAACAAATAATTACGTGGGAAACTAATTAAGGTTTGTTTTTCGTATGAAAAAAGGAAATCAATGCTACTTGACATGTGTGAAGCTCAAGTGTTCACACGTGTATGGAAGAGAGTTTTTCAGTGTATATAGAACACAAGGTGGTCCACTATGTATATTAGTGATAGAATTTTTATTTTTAAGTGTTCTTCCACTTGTATAATAACATGTGGTGTACCACTCCGCATTTCGGACACACTAAAAAAATATCTCTGTCAAGAGAGCTCATGAGAAGCTGTTTGAAGCTTAAGAAAATAAAACATACAATTTGCCGGGTTGTTGAATCATTTTGCTTGTATTATTATATTTGTTGACAATTTTAACTTAATCTATTGGTGTGTATATGTTTTCCCTTCATTCCAATGTTAGGACATTACAAACTGTTTTTACATAACCATGTGCGACATACAAAAAAAGAAAAGAAAAAAAGAGATGCGGTAATTAGTGACTGATCTAAGATTTTTATTTTTATTTTTAGATTGGCGATCTATAAAAGCTTGATGTGGTGTTTTTGCTTAAGGCATTCCTTGTTGGTGGGTAGGTCTTAACGCTTGTGGCACCAAACAGATCGAGGATGGATGTTGGAATAGAGAAATTTGAGTGAAAATGGTGAATGCTGGAGGAGAAAAGCCAAAATGACTTATGGTTTTGTGTAAGAAAGGGAATATGCAACTCCGCGCCATCCTATCTTATCCAGCTGCTTGATGGTCAAAATTTGATCCGGTTTAGAGACTTTTTGAAGTCTCATGCCCACCCTTGCTATTGGATTGGTTTGCCCTTGACGACAATTTAATGAGGCTCTTGACGACAACATAATGAGACTTTCACGATTAGGTATCAGATTCACGATAAACATATATAATGCATTCGTGTGAGTCAAATTAAACACTCTTAATAACGTCCAAGTAGATAACAATACCAATATATTGTTCACAATTTGAAAGGGATTAATCAATTTAAAATTTTGGTATTTGCCTAATACATGAGAGTGACCCCAGTGATCATTAATTATAAAATAGAAAGATTAACAAATTTGATTTATCTAAACCACCAGTGAGTTCTTTTGATGCGGACTCAACCCACCAAGTTGTTACTTCTAGATCAAGATATATTTGGAAATTTCTTTAGCATGATAGAAGGAAAATGAGGGAGTGTGCAAGTTGTGTGATGTGGATATGAAAACCTTGATTTGGGAAGATATAAACCTTTTGTACTCCAAAGTCCAACCTGTGAGATAAGACGACCTTTTTGCATATAAAGTATCATCATTTGCTTGAGGATGAGATATTTTCATTGTGCATGACACAAAGTCTGGTACAACAAATTAATTGATTGGAAATTTAAAAAAAAAATATTCAACTAATTGTATTATGATATATAGTGTAGCGGACTATCTTTTCGGCACACTAAGATTTTTTCCCCTAAAGATAGATCGATGGGTTTGATTTGGTCTTCTTGGTCTGTGACGACAACGAACCTTCGCCTCCATGGCCAAAGTCATGTGCCGGTGACACTGAATTTGGAGTCTTTTAAATTTTTTTTTTAAACAAATGATATTATCTACGTTAGGAAAGAGGAGGTGAGTTTAGCCTCACAATGGGCTAACAATAATATTGTGGTTCAAATTTTCATTTGGCGAAAATCGAACCTAAGACCTCTCACGTACAAAGAGGAAAATCACTAAGCTATAATACTAAGTGGCGGACTCTTCTATTATTAGATGGTACATTCATCATATTTAATTAAAAGTTTGTTCAATGTTTTCATTTTTTTTAGTACAACGATATATTTTATACTAAAGGAATGAGGGAGTTTGGTTAAGCCACACAATGGGCAACCTAATTTGATATCGAATTTACCATCTACGAGATTCGAACCTAAGACCTCTCACTTACAAGTGAAGAGGAATACCACCAGATTGTAGTACTGAGTGAATGTTCAATGTTTTCATTTAAGTTCATGATTAGTATAAAATAAGTTCATGCATATTTTAAGTTATGGTTATGTATGATCATTAATAAGGGTAACCTATACATGGAAGGTTGTTCCATGCCGAGACTATTTACCCTTACTCATGTACGGAAAGAATGATTCAGAAATTGAGAGTACTTTTAAATTTGGTTTAGCTAGTGAAGAGTGTTTTCTTCCTATCCCTAGACCCTTATCTATTTAGATCCTATGATGCCCTAGATGGTTTGGACGAGTGTGTCCTGTTCCTATTTTTTTTTTCTATGGAGATGAGCTAACAGTGGTTTACTTCTCAGCCTAGTTATGCTTATCTCTCAAGATCAAAGTTTTGGTCACTAAAGAAGATGTACTCAGTTGGTATGCTTGCTATAATCATGTTGTAATTGTGTTTTGTCGTATAAATGAATTACCGCTATCGTTTTACTTTAAAAAAATAATGATCATTTGCCAATCAAACCTACCTAACCCAATATTAATAAGATTCATAAGGGTTGGCGATATGATTTAATGGGCTAAATAGAATAGACGTTACCTTTGAGCTTTTGTCTTATGCCCTTAGCCACACTTCATCTCTAAGTCGATGAAAAAAATTTACATGCACCAGTTTTGAAATTTTATTGTCTTTGAATTTCTCATCACGTGACTTGTCACATTTAAGAATTTCTTCTGACCTTCTCGTGTCAATATAACAATTTTTTAGGAAATTTTCCTGTATATGCCCGACCACGTGACATCGTTATGAAAGTTTTTCTCATGGAATTAACTAATCAATAAACCCACCAAATATATTCTAGCAATGATGTGGCCTAACATGCTTGGATGATTTTTGGGTCTCATCTCAAATTTGTTCCAATTAAATTTCAAACTTGCAAATAATTATTTCATCAATGCACATGGTGCAAAACATTTGGTGTGCATTTCTTGCTCATTATTTTCCCATCAAATTATATTTTCTTTGCAAGTAACGTGCTAAAAAAGCACACGTTTTGGTAAATAAATAGTATTCATCGATGAATTATCATTCTTTTTTGTTCTAGGTTAATAATTGTCAAAGCATATATAATATAACTATTGCATAAATTAATTTAGACTTGGAAAGCAAGTAAAGTACATTTCTTGCTGCAATTATGAACAGTTGGCGTGGGTGAGGCTTGATTTTGTTGTTATACCATGCGTTTTAATGCATTAAAGTGTTTTATGGCCGAGTCTGCATAAAAATATACACAAATATTTCCAACCAAATCATTCCCTCTAATATGATAATACCAATAGCTTTAGCCAAGTTGAATAGAGCCATGTACTCTTTTTTCTGCACCCAAGATTAAATTTGCCACCTAATTAAAATGATTATAATGTAGATTCTATTCTTGTTTGTCAACAAAGTCAAACATAAAACTAAGTACTGGTTTGGTACTGTGGTGCTTTATAAAAAGTGAGTATAAAAAAAAGCTAAGCTCAAAAAGGTGTTTGATAAACATTTAAAAACAACTTATTTTCACAGTTTTGGATGAAAAAAAGCTGAAAACGTGAAGCAGCGAAAATAAGCTTATTCTCACAGCACAGCAGAATCAGTTTTTTTTTCAAAGCATAGCAATACCAAACCAGTCTGGGTAGAATGTGCTACGATCCACTCAAGGTTAGAAAATACATCTCATAAGCAGTGGAAGATTCAAGATTTCAATGCCGGATGGTCCCAATGTAGAAGTTCCGGAAGTTTCAACATCGACCATCTTTTTAAACATCATTCGTTTCAATTGAATTTGGTTCACATATCTATTTTCTAACAAATTCGGTTGAAAAATCAAGATTAAGGTCACATGTGCCAAAACCAACAAATGCTCCTCAACTGGTGGTGGTGAGTGGACTGATATAGCACGGGGCCTTAAGCCTAATTCAGTCAATGTTGGACTCTTCGTGGCTTCGTGTACAGTAAACCTTCTGCTGCAGCCTTACCAAGTAGGGATTAGTGTAAAAGCCTATGAACCATGGAATTGGGCTTCAACTTGTAGTCTTGAACCATTTTGCTCACTCTATCCACAACTCCATATGATTTTTTTTTTTTCTAATTTTTTTTTAGTGTAATGGAAATTCAATGAAAGTAGACTCTCTATGATGATATTTGCAGAAGTTCGTAAAATTGATTCAGAATCGAGAGTTATATTTTTGTCAAAAATACGACTGTTTGAGTTTTTGAGAGATTCTTTTTGTATGTAATTAGGAAAATATTATAAATATTGAGTCTCAAAAGTGACTAAACCATCTCTAGAATGAGTTTCAAGAATTTTAAAAAATTTATGGTGCGACGAACAAAAACTCAGAAGCTCGATTAAAAATCATTGTGTTTTTGTGTGATTTATAATCAAATCTAAGTTTGTCCAAAATGACCCGATGTCATGTATCAATATAACCTAATTTTGGTGAACAAATCCAAAATCTCAACTGCTACGACATGTCAACAAGAAGAACCATGACTATTAGAGGGAGGAGTCTTGGCCACCACGAAATATTTCGAATCCTTCTACTTGAAGAATTAAGCTAACAATAATTCTTGAGATAGAAAAGTAGGCATGCACATATTCTTCCACCAATGTTATCAAAGGCACGAATATAATCCTGAAATCTCAGCCCTTAATTCTGGACAATACCATTCGAAGTTTCGAACCAGTACAAGATCCGTTGTATGATTAGCAGAAAATTAGAAGAAAAAAAAAAGAAAAAAAAAAGAGAAGAACATTAGGTATAAAGGAGTATCGACTTTAAGTAAGAACCCTAAACTCAGTGAAATTACAGACAAGCCCTTAACGAATCTCTAATGGATCCCCTCACTTGTGGGTATATTTTGTCAATTTGATCCGCACCGTATTAGTCCCTACTGTTCACTCTCTCATCATCGTCATCATCGAAGGAAAACTGGTGAATCTACACCGTCCATCTTACTCCTGCCTCCGCTGGGGGCATCGCTTTAGTTTGCATTGTTTTGATTTGCTGCACACACAAAATTAACAAATCTTATTGTTCTATACAAATTATGTAAAACATGGTGATAAGTAGAAGGATGAAAGAATACAATTCAATATAAAAAAAAATATTGAAATCGGAAAAAGTATTAATGCAATGTTATATGTCAAAACTAGAGACTGAATTGTCTCGCATCACGAGACCCATGAAATTACAAGAATACTAAAACAGACGTGTGTGATCGTGCAACGACACTTCATGTAGGAGAGTTGGAAAAAACAAAATTGGTGTGTATAAGGTCTATTATGGCAATAGAAACTACTCCAAGAAACTCCCAAATATAAAAAAGAAGTCTTTGCCTTGGTTAACAAGTAGCCAACAATATTGCCAAATTAAAGATAATAATTAATTCCTTTAAATTTTACAAATCATACCAATATTGCAAAATTATATATTATGCCAATAAATACAATATTGCAAAAAAAAAAAAGATATCATGCATGTTATTAGAAGCAATAACCAAGTATTAATAAATTAATTAGGTAAATACAAAAAAAAAAAAAAAATTCAAACCTTGGCTCTGAAAGATTTGATAATTGAAGCCAGTAACTTGTCCCCTGCAATTTGTCTCACTTTTTGTATTAGTTGCTGCCTTGTAATCACATTCTCCTGAAAAATAAAATAGAAAAGGTTAAAAAAAATGGAGAATAATTACAAGAAAAAAAGGGTACAAAATCTTGAAAATTCAATGCAGGAAGCAGTAATACTTACTCTGTGATCTTTGTAATGCTTGCTGATCAAGGCAATGGAAGGTGGAGGCAAGAACTTCGAAAGCACGCCGATTAGCGCCGGAAACGGCATCCACGGCGAAGTCGGTTTCTTAACTGGTTCTTGAACCTTCAAAAGTTCTACACCATTGAAACAAAATGTTAATTAGTTTGAACTCGGAAGATGAACAATTATTCAGAAACAAAAAAGTTGGGGAAATTGCATTACCTTTCAAGCAATTAGGAGCTCTGAAGCTGATGACATACTCCGGCAGGATGTGAGTGTTCATGTGCGTACTCCAAACTATGTACTTCTTGGGAGCAAAGATGCTGTCGATGCCAGAATCAAACTGTTCGGAGCTCGGATGATGCTGTTTAGAACCGGGACACACAACCTCCGGCCTCCCCAGTATCACACGGCAGAGCAGGAGATGTCGTAGACCGTCTTCGTCAACGTTCAAGCTTTCGACGCTACAAGAACAAATCAAATTTGTCAACCAAATGTCGAAAACGTACACGAATGTACAAAAATGCATACGCATTTTGAAGTAGTAATTCAAATTCGAAGCCGAAAAATACGTGAAGAATTGGGGCAAAAACGGAACACACACTTACAGTTGCAGAGGAGAATCATCAGGAGCAAGATAAACACCGTTTCCGAACGCCCCATTTGTCTGAGGCTGCTCAAAGTTGCCGAAACCATGGCAGATGATCTTCGAAATCTCGTCTTTCGAAGAAGGCGCGAACCAAGCGTACTTCACGTTGGGATTTCCCCCGCACTTCTCCTCCACGGCTTTCAAGTAAATTTGAAAGGAACGCAGCCTTGCTTGGCCAACAAGGCTCGAGTAGGAGTTCCTGTGAACCGCCACCACACTTGCTTGCGCCCCAAGCAATCCCAAACTCGAAAGGAACCGCTGCTTGATGAGGTCGTGAACTCTGTCCCCGTCGAAAAGCGGGACCAACCCATCACCGAACGGCCGGGATTGATTACCGGAACTCGAAGAACCCGAATCGGCGACGCTTTCGGAGTCGGAGATCGACGAATGGACGGTCTCTGAGGCAGAGTCGTCTTCCGATGAATTTCCCGAATCGGAGAACTGGTCGCTCCGTTCATCTTCCGATGAATTTCCGGAGGAAAGATTTGGATAATCATTTCTGTACTCCATTGCAATCAAAACCCAGAAGAAAATCACAACAACTAAATTAAAACCTACTGTGATTTTTACAATCTGAAGAAAACAAAACAGAATCTAATTAAAATCTAAAATGTGTTCATGTATATGACTTTCGTGGGGGTTGAGCAAAAAGAATAACGAATCGGACTTCGTGGGGGTTGAGCAAAAAGAATAACGAATCGGATAAGCATTGGATTCCGATCGGACCCAGAAAGCGTTGGATCAAAAGAATCGGATCCAAAACCAAAGATGGAATGAAATTAGAGGAGTCGGCAGATTTTTCAGAACGCCAAGAAGGCAAACAAACTAAACAAACCAAACAACCAAAAAGTACCAAAACGAATACATTTCTGTGAAGTTTTGGGATATGATTTTAGCAGAGATTTCGTGTAAACTTTTGAGATTCAAGAACTAGAAGAAAAACCCAGAAAGAAACAATGGGAGTTTCTGAGAATTTGAGAGAGGTGGGAAGAAGGGGTTCGTAGAAATCAGGATTTGGGGGATTTGGTGGCTTTGGATTTTGTTTTCTGGGTTGGGATTTAAATGGGAACTGCGTTTTTGGATTGCTTGGGGAGGAGGAATGGAGGAGAAGAAGAAGAAGAAGGAATTGAAAAACTGAGAGCACAAAAAGGCGGTGGGTGCGGCCGCCATTGGTTTTGGATGCCCGCCGTTTTTATAAGCGACAATTTCTCGGGGCTCCGCGAGGTGGAACGGGCTGATTTGTTTTCTGTTTAAGGCGGTTTATGTGACGTGTGGATTTTGAACTGTTGGAATTACTATAACACCCTTGGAAATATCTTTTGCTTTTCTGGGTGGCAAGGGCTTCATTGGGATATGAGGGAATTTTAGGGGATTGGTCGGTCAGGGAATTGGATGGGAGGTTATGGTTATCCAAACATTTTATTAATTTAATATTGGGAAATGATTTTGCCCACGTACCTTATTCTTCGTGCCACTTGGCTTGGTGTTTATTTTATTTTTTAAAAAAGGGAATCAGCCTGTGGTTTTGCCGGTGAAGATAATTTTTTTTGGAAGTTAAAAAGATTTAAAGAAGTATTTTAATTTTTTTCTGATCGCTATCGTGTAATTTGTTAGCACAAAATAAAGAGCTTCATTGGGATACGGGGGAATTTGAGGGGACAGGGTACATAAAAGAAAGAGCTTCTGTGATTGGTGGGTGAGGGAATTGGATGGGAGGTTATGGTTATCCAAACATTTTATTAAATTTAATATTGGGAAATGATTTCGAACCTGACTTCTTTGGTCTCCCGTTTTTCATATACTCTCATCCATTTCTATTTGTGCGGTCACGGTTAAGACACTTTAACATTTTATAATACTATTACTTTTTATCTTATTATCTCTATAAAAAAATCAATATAAAATGTTAACGTAGCTTAACCGTGAACGCACAAAATAGGAGGAGATGAGAGTGTATGAGAAGTGGGAAGGCAGAGAAGCCGAGTTCAATGATTTCACCCATGGGAGAGGATCCTTTTCGGATTCATTTTGTGGGGATTCTAGGGATCCACATATTTTAGTCGTTCATCATACATCGTGCGGTCAGTTTTTGTCTGATATTATTTATGTTTAATTTTAAATTAAAAAGTCAAATGATTTTTTACCGCACAATACACGATGAATAGTTAAGATACGGAAATCCTTATGATTCTCACAAATTGGATCCGGATGGGATCCAATTCCTTTGCCCACGTACCTTTTGTTATTCTTCATGCCACTTGACTTTGAGAGATTTTTCAATGGTACATTATGTATCACTATACAAATGATATGATATGTGTGTTAAAAAGTTAATAAGTTAAAAAATAAAATTTTCCACTACTTATATAAAAACATGTGGTAGACCACCTATGTTCACGTCACAATAAAAAAAATTCTCCTTGACTTGGTCTTTATTTATTTTTATTTTATTTTTTAAAAGAGAATCAGCTTGTGGTTTTGCTAGTGCAGTTAATCTTTTTGGAAGTCAAGAAGACTCAAACAAGTATTTTAGTCTTTTTTTTACCACTACTGTGTGATTTACCAACACAAAAAATCTAACGCAGAATGTGCTGTGTAGAGTACAAGCCTAAAATTTGTCCAAACCACTAGGCCACCTCGTAGTGGTACCACGTAGTGTTTATCACTTGTTTATGAAAACCATTCTTAGCACATTTTCTTATATCACATTAGTGACACCTCTATAATAAGGTAGAGCTCATCAACACATGTGAATCATATTTTTATTAAAAGAGATGATACGAATGTGGTATAAAAAAAAAATATGATAAGAATAATATTTTTTTTAAATTTAATTTATGACCGAACAACGAGTGAAAGTTTGAACCTAGAACATATTGAATTGAATAGATTTTGACTACGTGCGACTAACTCTGCGTGCTAAAAGATTTGGATAAGTAGTCCCAATGATTTTGTTGTTTTGGTTTTGATGGTGTAAGTTGGATTCATCCCATAGACTGATGTTCAAAATTTTCTGCATGTTGTTTGTAAGGTGATATGTGTGTGATGGCAGACAAATGGAACCATGTCCGCAGGAGGGCTTGGATCAACTCAACTGTGAAGGGGTAGTTCCACTTTTTGCAGGGTCCTTTCCTTTGTGCGAATCGCCAGAAATGCCTATTCCTCGAGGGAAATACAGAGGATCCTCTTTGTGAATTTTGGGAATTCTCAAATCTTAATCATTCATCATATATCGTGCGGTCAGTTTTCGTCATATACTATTTATATTTAATTTTAAATAAAAATATTTAAAATGATTTATAACCGCACGATATATGATGAATGAACGTGATTTGATAATCTTCAGGATCCTCATTCCAGGTCATAAACTTCACCAGATCATGATGTACAGAAACACTAGTAGTTGCAGTTCGAGAAGTGTGAAACGCCCATTTAAGAATTTTCGGAGTGTCAAAAATCACTCATTTAGAGCTCGTTTGAGTGTTGATTTTTAATTTTTTTTTATTAAAATCAGTAATCACCTTGTTTTTCTAAAATAATCACTTTTAAAGAAAACACGCATCTCATTTCATTTGCTTGTCAATGATTTTACTCTCATTTAAAAACTTATACTATGTTTGAACAGGAGAAACAAACATGGGATTTTGGCAAAAGTCGGAATTTGTAAATTGATATATACCAAATCCCTTGTTTAGATTCATAAACATAAAAATTTAGAATTTTCTCGTGAAAAAAAAAAACTTGGAATTTAGAACCTTCAATTTTCAAGTTTAAACTCCATGTAAATTGGTGTCATTTCTCAATTTCTCTGAGTACAACTTTAAAAATAACAAATTATGTATTCAAATTCACTGTTTTTTTAAGTTAACTAAATAAAAAAATTCACAAATTCTAAATAACATAATTATGTCATTTTTAATTTATGTGATTTTAAAATTTCTTAATATTCTTAAATTTCCTCATCCAAACAAAGTAATGGATTTTTACCAAACAATTTAAGTATGATTCTAACGCTCTTATAAATCACTCCCAAACAGACCCTAACCAACATGAGACTTTGTTATCTAACTGAAAGATAGACAGAAGAGAGGGTTCCAGCTGAAGCTATGGGCATAAAGGTCCTCGTCTCTGTGGGTCGAAGAACAAGGATTCGAGTTGAACCACTAGAAGTTGTACTCACTAGTCACCACACTCCTAAATCCGCCTAGCTGGCACTTTCTTCTACTGTTTTTTGGTTCAACGCAATGTAAGAGATAAAAACTCAAACAATCCCCATGCCTTGTGCTATTGGCCTTGTGTTAGAAGATGTTACGCCTTTTGATCTCTCTCTCTCTCTCTCTCTCTCTCTCTCTCTCTCTCTTCGTGTGACGGTACAACCAAGTTTTTCTCCTACATTTCGAGACATTTCGAGCACAGCAAATGGGGGACACATCGCTAGTTGACCTGGTGCAACCAGCAGCTGTAGGCCTGTACATCGGAGCCTATGGAACTATACATGGACCTACACCCGGTACAGCTGACTCGGGTACATATACAAAGAGAAAAGAGATGCTCAAAAAACTTGATACCTCCAAAGGCCGCCTGTACAAAGATGATTCGAAGTTTTCGGGACTAGGATGACGAAGGAATCCATCATAACCATGCTCCCCATCCAGGAAACAGTTGACATAGACGCTCGGGATCGATCGCATCTTGTATAAGTTGTTGAACCTGCAAACTCAGATTTCTCTTAATACAGATATCCGAAAAGCTAAGATGTATTCTTCAACTAAATATTATGAAAACGGGATATAATGATTGATGTTCATTGGTGCTACTTGTTTCAATATTATAGGCACATCGATGAAACTGCAGTGCACGAGAACTACCTGTCCATGTATGCTTCGCATTTCCCCGTCTTCATATCCATCGAGTTTTTGTTTTACGCGCATCAGTGCACGTGCAGCATCCTTGTTACCTTCATATTCATCTTGCGAGCCTTCAAAGCTTAAGTTCAAGTCGTCATCCGTTTCCTAACCAAGACAAAGAAACGTATTCAGTGTAAGAATAAACGTATACTGGGATGGGGTGGTTTGAACAGCTACTACAGGTGAAACAGCGAATAAATTTATGACAAGTTTCATTACCTTCTGACGCTGCAAAGCTTTCAAAGGTGATAAAGCCCACTTATAAAGTGGATCATGGATAAAAACCTGCATAGAAATCCAATCAGATATCGAGGGAACAAGAAGTTGCGGGTTTCGTTTATTAATTAGAGAAGTTGACTCAGGTAACATACTTCAACGATGGTCAGTAGTGCTTCTTTATTTGTCCTCATAACAGAAAGAGTTTCTTCACAGCATCTTCTGAAAACCCCTTCCACTCCAGTCACACCCATGCCATCGATGATGTCCCTTGTAAGTCGGAATGGAACCTGTAAACATTAATTTTATAATAAGAACATCGAACCATACAAAATTCAGTACGCTAGGCAAACAAGCTTAGCAGGGAAAAAATAATCACAAAGTACAAACCCGTTCTGGTGTTTTGAGCATCAAGCCTTGTTCAAAGGCAACGCCAAGATCTATATGAACAACTTCTGCAGTGGTTTGATCAATTAAGATATTCATAGAATGTCGATCTCCAAGGCCAACGATATAACCAACCTGAATATGGAGCACAGTTTTCAGAATTATTACAGTTTATGGCCAAACGCCAATTGCCACAGAATGAGTATAAATCACAAACCATTGAACTAGTGGCAACACTTCGCGTGTACGAAAGTCTCTTCTCAAACCAGTCAGCTGGTTGCAAGAACCTCTCCAAGAAAAAATGATGCATGACAGGCCTGCATGAGGTTTTTATTTGGAATTAAGAGGCTCACCAGCTTAATATTTGAAAAACTAGGTGTTCACCCAGAGAAATGATATACCTGAACTTCGTACAAACTTCCTTGAATGCCTTGCGCTTGTCCTTTCCCTGCCGAAAACCAAAGCATTTATATAAGTTTGTTTTAAGGTGAACATAGTACTACTTTGGCATCCAGACATACATCTGTCTCTAAAGAAATTTACAAGAACTTCGAACAAATTTTCCATGTTTAGTAAATAGGAGAGCACTCTTCCTTCTCAACAATGCCCTTGAGTAATTGGTTTTCTTCAATCACAATAAACTTCAAAGCGTTACAAATTTTAAGGAGTGATACTTACATTTGCCATGTGTTCTCGGCATTTGAGAAATGACCAGTCCCCCACTCCATATCGACCATGGGCCCCTCCATTTCTCGTGCTGAAAATTGAAAAAAAAAAAAATTAGAAAACCCAAATTATTCGATCATTGGAAATACTCGTGTAGGCTTTAAAATAAGGTACCAATTACCTTCCTATAAGATAGTCACCAAGAGGAAGAGTGCCATTAACCCATTCAAGAACACCAGCACTTGGAGTGAATGGAACTACCTATCTCATCAAGAACAATGTGACGTTTTAATAGGTAAAAGAATTAAATGATAAAGATCATTGGTAGGAAAAAATTATTTAACAAAGCGATGCACATCCAGTCGGAAGCAATAATGCAATTTTCACGCACAAGAATTCATTTAACAAAATCTTCAAAGTGCACAAAGATCTGTATAATAATTAGAGAATAAAGATACATGATACAAAACTGATAGTATTTATTTCTCAACGGAAATTTCAAACTGTAAAAATGTTTAAGAAAACGCAAAACAATCAAGGGAACTAAGTCCTCATTGCACTATTAACAATCATCCAAAAAAAAAAAAAAACAATGCTGGTGAATTCTTTTCCGCCAAATTCTTGCCAAATAAAATATCAACCTTCTGCTTCAGAATGACATGATATGATATGTGTTGAAGAAGATACCTTGTATGTACGCACTCCTAATCTTCTTTTCCATGTATCCCGGTGGTTCTGTAAAAAGGTGTTGACTAAACCAAAAAATTGTTCCATTACCTGTAAATATATTGAAAAACATATTATACAAGTGAAATAAAAAACCATGAAAGAAGTACTTGTTTGTACCAAAAGGAAGCAGGCTACTGAACATTTATTTAAGAAAAGAATAAAAAAAAGTGAGACTGCGTTGAAGACAAGGCCCTCACAATAAAGCTAATATTACTAATGTTCTCCATAGCTACACAAAGCAATCCCGATAGACTAGTGGCAGGTAACAACACAACACCAGTTAAAGTACCAAGTAAAGAATTAGTCCAGGAAGAAGTGTTGGGCAACAAGAGCAATCTAATCCTTAGTAACTGTCTATTAGGGAGGCGTGCACAAAAAGCATATTAGATGCACCATTTCAAACCAGGAGGATTTTTGGGAATAGTCGAGTATAAATTCTGAAGCTTCAGAAGGTTCAGAATTTTACACTGCCCGGGAAATAGTTCAACGGTTAGACAAAATACAAGCAAAAACATATGTATTTCCACACGCATGGGCATGAGTGCGCGCGCACATGCACAGCTGGCACATAAACAGCAAGTAGAAAATCTTACAGCATCTTGTCTTAGATCATCATTTCCAGATTTTGCCAGCTGTTTGTATCGGCAACCATCAGAACCCAGGCATTCAACCACCTTTGGAGCATTTATACCGTTCATTACTCTGTATGTACACCAATATAAATCAGAAAGTAGCATTGTAAAAAGATTATAAAATAAAATATTAACATGATATTGTAGATTATTCCAAAGACGTACACAACTGAATCTCCTAATCCTTTGAAATATGGGAAAGAGCCTTCATGATATTGACAACTACGGTCAATGGGAAAGGTAGCCGTCACAACAGGCACCTGTGATTTCATAATAAATGCAAAGTTATTAATTATTAAGAACAGATGCAAGCTCAATGAGGCAAGGCAACTCTCAGTCCAAACAATTAAGATGCCAAATCACCTAATCAGTCATTCAAATTAGAATTTTCAAGTCATAAAACAAGAGTAACTTTCATTTCCTAAATACCATGGTTTGTTGTATAGAAAGATTTCACAGCATCAATCATCACATCCCTACAAATGACTAAATACAAAGAACAATTGCGCTGTACTTACAAGTTCCAGCGGTTGAAGATTACGCAATTCTCTCGGTAGCATTACCTTTCTATTGGTATCCTGTTGACACAGTTTAGTTAGGTAGTAGCAGACAAAACTGTTCAAAGGATTTTCATCATAGTAAGAAAGCAATAAAGTTACTTTAGTAAGATCTTAAATGACCAGGATGAGTAACAAAAACTAGGAAGAAGAAAAGACCAACTTGGCATCCGTTTAACTAACCTCTCTCTTCGTTTCTAGTTCGGCAAGTTTGATATAGATCTCCACCATTTGCTTCATCTGATAATAGGATGCAAATATGTACGATTTTTTAGTTCATACGGTTACAACAATAAATTAAGAAACAAAAAATACTTAATCTGGAAAATGACGCTAAATACTTGATTTATAATGCCTCCATGATACGATGTTAACTCTTGTAAGAGATTCTCTGCTGCAAGCTTTTTATCCATATCTACCACAAATGAGTTCCTACTGCGCTGCTTGTCCTTGATACGGTCACCATTTGCCAATGCTAGAAGCTAGTGCAAGTACAGATGGGAATGTAATATATTCAAAAGTATTTTACAGCATAAAACAGGTCCAGAATATGACAATGAGAACCATTTGAAAAAGCATGGTAATTATGGTGCAATAAAGGGGAATGAGAAGTAAGGTTTTTGTTTCCCATTTCTTATTATAGCAGAAATACGAAACCCTTGTATGCGTATTACTCAAGCACAAGACATGCATGGAATTTCAGGCCGGTTGAGGTCAATAAAATTAATTCTGAATACCTGAAAGATAGTATGGTATGGATGGTCAATGGCCATTTTCTTCAGAAGAGAAACCAAGGCAAACTGCAAATCCAATAATTATAATCAGAATATACTCCGACTTCTGAAGAAGCCAAGAATATGAGTTCAATGTGAACCTGAAAATTTTGAGGTCCTGGACAATCCTTTAAGCTACCCATTCTTGAAGCAATTTGGTACACTAAAGGGATGAATTTGTAAGACTGAACCTGTAGAAATATTGGATTACAAATCAAGCTAAACTCTTATGTAGCATTATCTAGCAACATATAATGTGTGTGTACATGTGTGTGTGTGTGTGTGTGTGTATTACTTTTTACAGAAAACAATAGAAATTTAGTTATTATTATTTCAAATATTGATTTATACTTATTTTTCTGATTCACAATGTACCTCACTGATTGCAGCAAGCATGCTATCTATGACATTTTTCCTTGAAGAGAGAGAGAACCACAGGGAAATTAACCGAAAAACCTGAAGACACATGTTAGTCCCTCAATGGAATTATACACAATTCTCCAACAATAAAATCTCTCAGTAGGGATTTATTTGTATAAAATCCACTCAATCCAAGGCAAAGAAATTGTTTTATGTTCAAATCGAATAAAAGTTGCAAAAGTAATCAACATTAAGGGTTGCAAGAATCATCGGAATAACCATAGGCTTTTGGACCGTTCACTACAGAATTACAGTGCTAGATTATTTTTTATGGAACATAGACATTGAGGAGTAAGTACATACCACTCGCACATCATATTTGTCACCAACAACCAAACAACGGTTATATCCCTCCAATGCTAGGCTGAGGAAATTGTCCCTGTCTTCCTGAGAAGTCAACAAAAACATATAAAACAGTTAAAAGTAGATTATGTTTTCAGAATACTTTGAAGGCTCAAGTCAATTCCAGAAGATAAGCTCAGTACTCCTTGCAATTGTTTAACACAGGAAACCCAGAATTTAGATCCAGAATTCCCTCAGATTATTGACTAGGAATTCAAATTCTACACCCCAATACAAAGAAAGTGAAAAGGACACATTGTGAACAAGACTTAAACAAAACTAAGGTGTAACAACTACCTGGAGTTTTTCAGCCTCCTCCTTGTCCATTGCAAGTTGCTTTTGCAACTCTTGAATTTTGACCGAATAGTCACTCTTCTCTCCCTAAAAGTATATACGGAAGAAAAAGAAAAATCCATGTAAAAGAAACTTAGGAGATTATCCCCATGGTACCTATTAAACCAAAATGGCAAATAAGGATTATAACAATGGTTTGGGAGTACCTTTGTAGAAGATCTTAGCCGTTTAATAAGTGCTTCCAGTTCCATTGTCTGTGAAATCAACACGTACACAAAATTGCTCATGAAACAAAACTTCATGTAACTTTTGAGTTCTTGTTTCTAATTTATTCTCAAGTACCTTGTGTTTCCTTAAACGCATTGCTGCTTGCCATTCATTAGAGGTAAGTCTTTCTTCATAACTCCTGAAAAGAGCATCTGCATAATGTGCAAGATGAAAATGTGTTTGGCTTTGTCTACCTCTGGACATCTCTTTTGTATACTTCTGATTCTCAGCAAGCGAAACAGCAGGCTTCAAATACTTCTCTAAAATAGTTCTTGAGCTGAAGTTGAGTTTCAGAGAGAAATAAAAAGGAAGATAAAAAAAATCAGTACATCTCTGATTCACATCCAAAATCAAATTAATCAGTAGTTAAGATTTTCTATTAACTTGCTAGATCTAGTCTCTGCCAGCCACTTCCCAACCAAGCGATGAACATCTGAAGACTCTTCATTGGACACGAAATTTTGCGAGACATATTTTGCAAGGCTGATTGCCATCTCATGCTGACCTTGGCCACGCAGAAGCTTTGCTTCTTCAAGCTGCCATGAAACAAAAGTTTACCAGTGTAAATTTCTAACTTTGCAAACATGACTTAAAGCCAGGTAAGAAATTAAGAATTATAGGGACTCAGTACCCTTCCAAGCCAGTATAGAGATGAATCTTGCTCTCCTGATTCGACACACAGCAACTTAAACTCATGCAAGGCTGCAGCCGCTTGAGAAAATCTAGAACCCTGTAAAACAAAGAAAAACAGACTAGGAAAATTCAGGAAATGGGTTTAAGTGGATGGTTCTATGATTATGAAAATGCTGATAATACCTTACGGAGGGTAGAAGTGGACTGCAGAAGATGTTGCTCCGTACACTCCCTACAGCTTAAGATTTGAAGTAGCACTCGCCTGAACGCTATAAAAGGCTCCAGTAAATTCATGTGTAACTGTGTCCGTTCCAAAATGGAACTCCAATCCATGTTCAGCCAAGACAACTAATTGAAATGAAAAGATTATGTCAGATAACCAGAAACTTAGTTTTTCTTTTAAAATAGAAACATGTGTGCATGGAGTGGACATATATTTATAGAAGCCAAGTGAAACTAAATTAATCACAGATGACACACCCTATCTATATATGAAGAAACCATAACAAAAGTTAAACAGTACCCAACAACAACAAAGAACATACATTATAGGTTAAACCTTCTTGTAATATGTACATACAGCTAGCTATCTGACAAGTTACTACTACGTGCAGGAAAATATCTGAACTTCTATGTGTGCACTAATCTTGGGAGATAATGTATAACCTTGTGATGGAAAAACTAAAGCTTAAATCACGATTTCAAAAGAAAGCGAGCAGCATCTTCATCCATTCCAAGGTCCAGAAACTCAGAAGAAGAAACATTGTCGGGTAATATGTTTTAGATGAAATACTGTTTTGCCTATTATCAGTAATATACATAGCTCACCCACTTGAGCTAATCCACTGGGAAATGTCAACAGGACCATCAACCACTAAAACCTCAGTTGTCGTATAGCCAGAATGGAAGATGAAGCAAGTAATTTGAGCGAATAAAATTTGCTCATTTAATTTTCAGTTGTTGGTTCTAACTTCTAAGAAATAATTTAATACATGATTATCATTGGTATCATTTAGTAGCTACTTGTACTAATAACACGTCATCAAACCAAAGAAGTCTACTCTGTTTCTTTCATCCACCAGCATAATACCTGATCCATGGTAGGGATTATAGGTTCAGAATTCATTTCTTCCACCTTTGGATGAAAACTTATACCCTCATCATAATCAGATGATGTCCAACGTAAATCCCAAGCCATGCCAAGATGATAAAGGATCTGCACCAGGATACATAAGTTAGAAGAAAGAGAGTAATCTTCTTGTGGGCAATAAATTTGGAAAGGCATAATCATTATGAGCTTTTTTATTTTTTATTTTTTTGGTTCTCATGGCATGTCAAGGTTGAATCAACAACTTAAATCATTCAAATACGCAAAAACACGCCTTCTATGTTTATCACATACCTGAAGTTTAATTATTGCTGAATATATGTGCTCAGTACTTTCTTCACTTGCACGAGAAACAGACCACACAAGCTCCTGACATGTATGAACACATGCATAAGTAAAATTACACATGTCCAACTTGTAGGGGAGACAAAGTTGAGACTCATATCACCTGCTTTGAATATCTCAGCTTTCCATGGAATTCATTGTAATCTCCCTCTTTCAGTGCCCTCAAACAACTGAAATTTTACAAGAGGAAACACAACATTGTCTAAGATACTTAAACACTAACGTATAGTATGATTTCCTCACTTATATGGGACATCTCTTACCTATGCAAATTTTCATTGAAATTATCACTTTTGATGTGCAAACTTGATGAAATAGAATTGTCACCAACATAAAGTAAGGAGAAATCCCAGTTTGCAGTACGCCAAGCAGCCTCATACTGCAAATAGTATATCAGCAATATTGGGAAAAATGGTCCTCGTAGAATTAAACTAGCAAGAAAAAAGGCTAACTAGAAAGTCAAACATGTCATTAATCAGGCATCTTTAATAAGTTGAGATTGCAAACCTGCAATTCAGTAAACTCCAGATCATGATCAAACTGTCCCTTCCGAGTTGTCAATCCTTGGCAATACAATCCAGAACATGCATACAACCAGTTTGCTGCAATGACCTAATCAAACCTTTATATGGTTTCCTCTGCCTCATCGCATTTTCCAATATGGGATTGGATAAACAATCTGTTGGTTGAGTCTCTTCCATTGACAAATTTCTGGAACCAAAATCCACCGGTACCAAGGCAGCCGAACGTACTTGCAAGTCATAGTACTCAAGGGCCTTGCTCCAGTTTCCCTCATGCTCGAAGGTAATGATTTGAGAGCTCAACTTTCAATGCCATCACCACAAAACAAGAAGAAGAAAAAAATACCCAAATATGAGAATATACTGATGTATTGAATATAATATCTAGGACATCTACAAGTATTTCACCTCATCGAAAAACCATATTTTTCACTAACCTTGTGTGACTGGATGATCCCATATAAGCTGTCAGGTTCATTGATCTGAGTGACCGCAGCGACAAGTATTTCGATATGATGTGGCAACTGGAGCAGAAAGACCAAACACAGAACAAGAAGGAAGTCAAGAGAAAGGACAACAAAAAGTTAGGAAGGACTGTATGAATTTATCACCGTATGCATATTTTAAAACAGAATGCACTATTAACAGGTCTAGCAGGTCAGCTCGTTCGAAAAATGAACACAAAGTTCATTATATCTGTGTGACTAACCACTTCAATGTGAGAGAAATCAGGGCTCCCCAGTGTGAGGCTGTTGAAATGCTCTTCACACCAATGCTCCACGTACATCACAGCAGTAAAGTATGAGCCACAAATCTGTGAAGTATAAACATCATTGTTAAGAAAATGAACAAACGGATATTAACTAAAGAAAATCATTTGGGCACTGAAGTCAAAATTAGATTATAAGAAAAGAGAAGTGCAGGATTGTTTGGAACTCACGACTGCTGACTTGGCAACGACAAGATAATCAATAGAAAGCCAATAAACCTGGAAACATGGACGAATTAATAGAAAAAGGAACAAGACAGGAACTAACGATTTATAAACCATGTATAACAATCCAAAGAGTGAGGCTTATAAATAACTCCAAACAGAAGGCAATATATGCAGTACAAAATACCTTGTCCCATAAAGACGTCGACATTGCCGCTGCACTTAATGTAGGAGCTGAATCTTTGGCCTTTCCGGGGGTGGAACGGGATTTAGAACTACAACTAGCAGGTTTAGCGCTCTGCAAACCCAAAACGTAATAATTAGATTAGTACAATCTATGTGAAATATTCTGGTCAACATACGTTGAACAATTAAATTAGTACAATATCATTGTCAACAGCAACAATAGACCTCTCACTAGAAAATCATAAGCGACTATAATTTAGTTTGATATGTTACCTTAGATATTTCCGCCCTTGATGGGAACGATGAAGATTTTTGTATCACATGACATAACCGAAGTTCATTAAGAGCATTCAACCAAATTTGAATTGATTTGATTAACTTATTAGAGTCTGTAAATATAGATTCCTGCACCTGCATATAAAAGATAGACAACCAATCACACAAGATACGGAAGACTGGAAAAAGAAATGCAAAGCTTCATATAGGATAACTAAGAAACTATCTATGAAATTGAGGATAAGACATGAAACATCAAACCCATCCAAGTCTTTACATTAAGCCATCATACTACATCTCATTTTACAATCCTCAATAGCATGAAGAAAAAGAAATAGCGTGTTTCACAACACAAAATTTGCCCCAAAATTAAGAGGCAATCAAAACCATTTCCAATGAAGATGGGCTCTTTTTCATTTGCTGCCAATTATAGAATGACAACCTTCAAAAAGATAAGTCACCGAAAAAGTCATGTAAATACCCCTAATATTTGTTATGTATACATGGCAGACACAAATCTCAAAATGGAGATACATCATAATACAATTGAAACTAGACCAAATTAGATTCCAGATTCAACCTGCAAAGAGATTAATTTGAAGAGGTCAACATCTATATCCTTCCTTCCAGCAAGATTGACAACAAGGCTTGGTAAAAGAAGCTCCGCAGCTTCAGCTTTTGCTAACACAATATCCTGACATAATCTGGAAGCAGAACAAAATAGGGGGGGAAAGAGTAAAGTTAATAAACTTGTTTAAACAAAGTGAAGGCTAATCATCTGACTCATAGGCAACATATTTAGATAACAAAGTCAAAGATAATACCTCAGTATTACGTCATTGCAATAACCAATCAGTGAGAAGACAAGTGGACAAATCCATGTATCAAAAGTTTTACCCTGTGTTGCCCATACAGTAGAGTTCTCTAATGGAATTGCTTCAGCTGAAAATTTAAATTAAGGAAAGATTAATTAATGAAACCAAACACAACAAGTAAACCCAAGAAAGAGGTGTGACAAGTAATATGAAAGCCAAATTGAAGGTAATAGAGCTCGTAACATAATCAAGAGAGTTGAAGTCACATATGGTAACTTACAAATGGAAAATAAAGAAAGATTTTACAACATTGGTAAACAACTCAAAGCAATTTCATTATAATTCAATTCGTGACCCCAAGAGTCAGAATAAAGACAAAAGGAAGTGCATGGAGTGCCTGGATCCCTAGGGGCACATCAGAAAGCCCAACTAAATACTACTACTACTACTAAGACCCTTACCCAACAGTTTATAACGTAATCACACTTTTGGCCTAGCCAAATTTGAACATCACTTTTGTTTTGATTCTTTTATGACATTTTGAGCTTTAGTTTTAAATAGAAATGAACTAATATAAAAAAGCACAACTAGCTTACCCTTAAACTTAATATCCAGATCCAAAAGGAGCTTTTCCACCAGCTCAATGTTGACACCCTTAGAGTGAACCTGGAAAGACGGGAATAGAATTACACTAGTTTTCTACTGAAGTGGCATCACTTGCACTATTAGAATCAGGTAAATAACTAATGAAACTACCAATAAAATTTCATAAAAATAAAAGCACAGAGAAAAGCATATTTACCTCAATAAGAGACCTCTCATAAGAATCAAAAGACAACAGGGCACTTTGACCTCTTTGAGTTGAAAGAATTCCCTGCTTTCAGCAGAAAATAGCATATTATCTAACCCCACAAAATTCATTAGATTATACCAAGCCAAAAAAGGAGAAAGGAGAAGGGGACGGGGAGGGAGAGCAAACAATAGATTAAGGGCTTCCCCGGCAAATTATGAATTCACACAATACAATAGCATGCATAACCATAGTGTTTCAAAATAAGAAATACAGTTCCTGGACAACAACTACCTAGGTGTATTTTCAACAAGTGGAGATGTAGGATAATAACCTGCATGCTTAAAGCATTTTTCTACAGTGCAACAGTATTATATAGCCATAAATTTACTAACTATACAATTACAGTCCTCCAAGCTCATCTTTTCTAATTTAACGCAGATGTGGGACTGTGCAAGTAAACAGCTTGGACTCAACCAATCAAGATTGTAGTTAGAATTGAGACCTATGGATCTAATTGATCATAGAAAGTGTGCCACAAGTTTTAACTTACCATAAGCCATAATCGTAAGAAGTTAAGAATTAGTCCTTCAAATGTTACAAAATTGAACAATAATCAACAAATCAGGTCAAGTATCAAATTAATAACATGTAGTGGTCAAGACAACACTACAAATCTGACAGACTTGAAAAGAGGGCAAATCAACTTGGCCTCCAAAGAATTACCCGAAGAGCTTGAGATGTCATATCTACTATTTTGACGGAATCATCCATCAAGTATTTCTTCAGAAGTTTTAAAAGCATAACCAAAAGTTCTTCAGATAAGCCGGTATCCATCTGAAATTTGACTTCTATAGAAGAGTCATGATTAATAGGTCGGCAGACATGGATGTTACTAGAGTTTCCTGGAAGATGAAAAACAACACAATGTGGGTCCCCAATTCCAACCTGCATATTTTGGAAAAGAAAAGGAAAACATATTATTATAGAGCACAATGTGCTGAAGAAAAGATATACTTAATAATATTAGTGAAGCAGAAGTACCCTAGATATAAAATCAGAGAGCAAAACTCCAACGGTATTTGTATCATCCAAGCCACACGTGCGGACAAGTGACCAAACAGCATTGGTAATTTCATGGTCATGATGCCAATATGTATCGTTCACAAGTTCTACTGCTTTCTTTTTCCTTTGAAATGTCTCACCCAAAAGAAACTTCTTGTGTAGTGCTTGGAGACTGCAAGAACACACCATGTTCACAAAGCATCTCATTACCTTAAATTACAACCCAGAAAATATAACGTTCAGCTGTTCTCAAACCCAATAACCATTTTATAGTATTCCTACTAAGTGATTTTTCAATTTCGTTCTGCAAATAACATGTCGTTAGAGAACAAGAAAGAAACTGATAATAAGAAGAGGGAACCACCTCCACAGAAGTAATCTCGGCGGAAGGTAACAAGATCTCTCAGCAAACTGAAAAGGACAAATTAAATAGCGTAATCAGTATGGGAAAATATTTAACCATAGTTGAATCTCAATAAAAGCAAAAAGTAAATTTATGCTGATAAACTCCGTTGGTTTACTGGTATTTCAAAAATCATAAGCTGTTAGAATATGGATGAACTATTAATTCTATTAACACTCCCCATCACATATGGGAGTTTTCTCTACCACTAGAGAGACTAACGCATGAAATTCAACATAAATTGAAAGGTTGCAGTTTCAGATTTGAACTCAGGATATCCCTTTTAAATACCTTAATACTATGAAAAATAGGTTTACCACCATTGGCAAAAACTTAAGAATAGAGTGTGACCTACGATTATTTTAACATTCTAACATACAAATTGATATAATGTACCTTCAACAAATGATCTCTTGAAGAGTAAGCTTGGCATAATTCCTGATGGAACTTTCTAATCCCATCAAAGATATCTATTTCAGGGAAGGGTTCCAATTCCTGCCACAGAGAAATTACACAAAATGAACGGGTATCGTTCCAGTAAAATTAAATTAAGACTATTTTAGAGGTGGAACAATTCATTGCTGAGAAGTCAGAAATGATACTCTGATATAATCATAAAGAGATGGATCAGAATCCACAGTAAGCTGGAGCAGCAAAGATAAGACTTGGGATGATCTGCCAGATTCTTCTCCCTTAGCTTCAGAGGGAATGCAACATGTCACCAACTTTGACACTAAAAACTGCATCAAAAGATTCAAAGCAGAACATGGGTACAGCAGAGTACTGATAGGGGCTCTTTTGTGTGTGGTGGGGAGAGGTGGGGATGCAGAATCAAAGATAGATATACTGACTAACAAAGGAACCCACCTGAAGTTGCTCACCCAGAACACAGATAATTTCTTTTGATGGTTTACTTTTAAAAGTTTTCAGCAGTGCAGAAATGATACGACAACATTGATCTAGTAAAGCCTGGCAGCCAATGAATTGCCCAACCAAATTGAAAAGATAACTGCATAAAACATCAGATAATCGCAAAATGTTAAGGGCATGTTAAATTATATACTTACACGTCCAAAAAAAGAGTCATGTTTTCTACAATTTAAAATCACATTTCAGTGTTTTCACTACACAGGAAGAACACTGAACAAAAACACAATTAAAAGATATGAATACCATATGAATTACTTTTGAATTAAAAAATGGGGGCAGATAAGGGAACTGTGCGCATTTATCCCAAACTACACCACTTATAATTTGCAAAAGGCATCAGCATTCTTTTTTGAAAAATGCTAATCTAGTCGCATCAATACCAAAATTAATTAGAAGCTTGTATGAATTAATTAGAAGCTTGTGTGAATTGCTTGAACATTCATCATTCTAATTATCTAATGATGGATGCTGAATGCTGATATTATAAACTTACTTGGACGTGCTAGCAACAGCAGCTCTATACCCAAGAATATCTATAAGCACCTCAACTCCAACAAGCCGGTGACATGCATGCCTATGGTGAGTTGCTGCTGCAATCTTATAGTGCAGTTCCACTATAAACTGCAGAACAACATTAGCGGTTAATTTCACAAAAAGCATTGAACATGCCAACTGAACAAAAGAATTGAATATAAAGGGAATCCTAAAATAGGCATAAAGAGATATCCTAAATAGCATATTTACCTTGAAAACCCTATCTGGTCGAAAAATGTTAATCTTGTCAACAACACAGATACTTGTAGCATAATCCTCCCTGCACAGAGGGCCATTAGGAAAACATTTTAAGAAAGAGTCATCAGATAAGTAATCAAAATAAAATTTAAATCCCAAAGAAAGCTTGGAAAATAGTGTACTTCTCCAAAAATCCGTCAACAACTGTTTGAATTGCACTTGCAATCGTGTTCCTAGAAAAGAATGGAACTGCAGGGTTTGATGCAGACGAGCCAAGAGACAGAATGTGGCTGACAATAGATGCCTATAAATATGGCATTTAAAGAAATAATTATAAAAGCATTAAACCATCCAGTTAATTATGCTAAACAAAAAAAGTACCACATAAAGATGTGAAAGGTAGATATATCAATCCAAAACCAACTAGTAAAGAGAGGAGAGGCCTAAGATTATATGTATTGAATTGGAAGTCTTAAAATACCAAATGTAAAATTATATATTCTCAACATGCTTTCGCACATATGGGCCTGGCTGAATAGAACTAACTGTGTGGATCAATTATTTTGGAGAACATGGAGCAGATGATGCCAAACTGGCAATACACACTGGATGAATTACCACTCCAGTAAAATTAGAGCATCAAATGCAAAACCAAGTGGAAATGGGTTAAAAGACCCATGATCTATATATTGAATGAAAGACTTATAGAGTACATCACATGAGATTTTATGTTCAAAGATATCTAACATCCTGGAAGCATATTTCAAATCAGAACAAGTAAGACTTCACAGAAATGCAACTGAATACAAGGGGATAACCATAGATATCTCTCTTTTTCTCATAAATATCATTAATCCCAATGCCAGAAAGTATGCTGCGGAGACATTTCACTGCCCTCAACTACTTAATTCATTGTTTGGTACGAAATTCCTATAAACCAAATGTAAGAAATAAAAGTTTTTCAGCCTAAATTTCCATCAAATTTAGAAAGCAGGTACAGAAATCCATAGAATCAGAAGCTAACCATATGTTTCTTAATTAGTTTGTCCCGCTCATTCTCAGATATCTGAGCAAGACGCAAAACTGAATTCTGAAGCACATCTGCTCCCTTTTCCCACCCAGATTTCTTACTACAATGCAATCCCATACAAACTGAAAAAATCTGCACAAAGTGATTTTTCACCAGAACTTCCAGAGGCTGACCAGCAATCTGGAATAAATAAACGTGTGAGACTAACTTAAGGAAATATACAGATATATATACATACAGTGGACTGAAAGGAAATCAAGAGTTGACGACAAATACAAATGATATTACTAATTTGATGCTGAATAGGGAAAGAATCACATAACCTAGCTAGTGCACCTACCATAGTAACCCAGCTAAATTTTACTCAAGTGAAAATGTACAGGTTAAGTGGTGAAGTATGAGGATTTTTAACCAGTTTATCCAGGACTGCGAACTCATTGACCCAGATTTACTCAACGCTCAGTTCACTTGGTCTAATTTTCGAGAAGAAACGGTTTGCCGAAGATTAGATAGATTCTTATTCTCTGGTGGTTGGGAGGAGTCGTTTCCACATGCAAGGCAAAAGTCTCTGGCAAGGGTAACCTCTGATCACTGTCCAATCGAATTAGATACCAACAAGGTGACGTGGGGGCCAGGCCCTTTTAGGTTCGAGAATTCTTGGCTACAACATCCAGACTTTAGAAACAATCTCAAAGAGTGGTGGCTTTCTGCGATAGTCGAAGGTTGGGAGGGATACAAATTTTCCAGTAAGTTAAAAATTATTAAACAGAAGCTGCAATATTGGAGCAAGGAGGTCTTCGGAGACACTGAGAAAAATCTTAAGGAAGCCCAGGCCAAATTAGAAGAAATTGACTTTAAAGAAGGAAGGGAAGGTCTGGACCCGGATTTAAAAAGAAAAAGGGAAGAGACCCGTTTCCTAGTGGAAGACCTGGCTTGGAAGGAAGAAGTAAAGTGGAGGCAGAGAAGCAAAGTGGTTTGGGCCAAAGACGGGGATGGCAACACTAGCTTTTTCCATAAGGTAGCAAATGGGAGAAGGAAGAGAAATTTTATAGAGAGATTGGAAGCGGAAGATGGTAGAATGGTAGAAGGGGTTGAGGAGATTGAAAATGAAATCATTCATTTTTTCAAGTCACTGTACAGTAGCAGCGAAGAGGAGTGCTGGGGGCTGGATGGTATTAACTGGTGTCCAATTAATGCCATCGAGGCAGCATGGCTTGAACGGCCGTTCGAGGAAGCCGAAGTTAAAAAAGCCGTTTTCGACTGTGGGAATGATAAGTCCCCTGGTCCAGATGGCTTCTCTTTGCAAATGTTCCAAAGTTGTTGGGATATTTTAAAGGCGGATATCTTGAAGGTGTTGGAAGAATTCTTCGAAAATGGGATTATAAACACAGTAACAAATGAAACCTATATCTGCCTAATCCCGAAAAAGGCAGATTCTGTGCACGTGAGGGACTATAGGCCTATAAGCTTAGTTACCAGTCTTTACAAGGTAGTGGCGAAAGTCCTTGCTACAAGACTAAAGAATGTCATGGGCAGTACAATCTCCCCATCTCAAGGAGCTTTTGTTAAAGACAGACAAATTCTGGACGCTGTCCTTGTAGCAAACGAGGTGGTTGAAGAGGTGAGGCAGAAGAAGAAGGAGGGTTTGGTTCTTAAGATTGATTTCGAAAAAGCTTATGACCACGTCGATTGGAGATTCTTGGAAGAAGTATTACTGAGAAAGGGTTTCGGGTATAGATGGAGAAAATGGGTGCTTGGTTGCATAAGCACGGCTAATTTCTCAGTTCTGATCAATGGGAGACCTAGGGGAAAATTCAAAGCTTCAAGAGGACTGAGACAAGGAGACCCTCTGTCTCCGTTCTTGTTCACCCTAGTGGTAGACGTGCTGAGCAGATTGATTGAGAAGGCTCAAGATAATCATTTGATCAAAGGGCTGCGTGTTGGGCAAGATAACGTGGAGATCTCTCATCTTCAATTTGCGGATGACACAATCTTTTTCTTGGAAGGCAATGAGGAGGCTTGGAACAATTTATTACATTTGTTGCAAATTTTTGGCAAGGTTTCAGGTTTGAAGATCAACAAGGCAAAGTGTTCCTTGGTGGGAATTAATTCTGATGGTGAGAAAATTACAAGGCTAGCAAGTTCTTGGGGCTGTGAGGTGGGCAGTTGGCCAATGAAATACCTGGGTCTTCCCCTCGGAGGCAAGCCAAATTCTATTAAGTTCTGGGACCCGGTGGTAGAGAAGGTGGAATTGAGACTTCAGGGTTGGAAGAAAGCTTTTTTATCTAGAGGAGGAAGATTAACATTGATCCAAGCTGTTCTTGGATCCTTACCCATATACTACATGTCCCTGTTCAAAGCCCCATGCGGGGTCATTGGGAGACTGGAAAAGCTAATGAAAGGGTTCCTTTGGGAAGGGGTTGAAGAAGGAAAGAAGGTTCACTTGGTCAAGTGGGAAAAAGTGTGTAAAAGCAAGGAGGAAGGTGGCCTTGGTCTGGGAAATTTGAGAATTAGGAATGCCGCCTTATTAGCCAAGTGGCTGTGGAGATTCCCGCGCGAATCAAACTCTCTTTGGCATAGGGTGATAAAGACCAAGTACGGTTTGGAGGCAAATGGTTGGGATGCTAAATGCCCAAGTCGAGGCTCGAGTAGATGTCCCTGGACTGGAATCTCGGCTGGTTACCCTTCTTTTCTTCACTCTTGTATCTTCGAGGTTGGTAATGGTGAGAGGCTGAGATTTTGGGAGGACGGTTGGTTGGAGGGCGGACCTTTGAAGGAGCAATTCCCTAGATTATTCTCTTTATCAAGGACAAAAAACCAAAGTATTTCCAATTTGGTGGTTTCTTCTTTACAGCCGGTAAGTTGGAATTTAGAGTTTAGAAGAAACCTAAGAGAGTCCGAGATTGAAGAGGTGGCTGGTTTACTGCAGAAGGTGGAGTCTGTTCGGCTGCGTCATTCCAGAGACAGGAGAAGATTCAGAGAAAGACAGGAAAGATTGGAATTTAGAAGGTTCTGGCCAGTTCACTTGCAAATCCTATAACTCTTTCCTTCGTAACAATGAAGTTGTGCAACATTTTCCCCCTTTCGTTCAGATATGGAAAGCAAAAGTGCCTCCAAAAGTCAAAATCCTTGTGTGGCTAGTGGCGCTTGGGAAGGTTAATACGTGTGATCAAGTCCAAAGACGAATGCCTTTTGTTTGTTTCTCCCCCCATTGGTGCGCATTGTGCAATTCCGGGGAGGAAAGCGTCAACCATGTTTTCCTCCACTGTCCGTATAGCATTCAACTTTGGTGGAAATTGCTCAACGAAGCTGGAATGAGATGGGTCACTCCAAAGGGCTGTTTTGAGCTCCTTAGCACTAAGTTCGAAGGCCTAGGGAAAGGGAGGAAAGCCAAAACTTTGTGGGGATCTCTGTTGATGGCCCTCTTCTGGAACATTTGGTTGGAGCGTAATAAAAGAGTCTTTGAGGAGTACAAGGGAGTGGGGGTTGAGGAGATTTGGGATAGAGTAAAACACTGGGCAGCCCTTTGGGCTTCGGTTTCAGTGGAGTTTAGAGATTACAATTTCTTTTCTATTTTTAGGGATCTGTTAGCTGCCGTTATTTGACTTGGTCTAGCTTTTCCTCTGTTCTTTTAGTGTTCTTTAGGGGCCCCTGCTTGTTTTCTTTTAGCTCCGGGTGGTTTTCTTTTCCTTGTGGTTGTTGTTTCTCTTTTGTAATTCTTTCGTTTTATTAAATTCTTTCGTTTCTTTTCAAAAAAAAAAAAAAGTGGTGAATATTTACAGGTTACAAACAAATGGGAAGTTGAAGATTCACTTTACCTTGGCAACCCAGCTGAGATTGGAGCTGTCCCCATGCAGAAGTAGAGCCGGGAGAAGCCAATGACAGCAATACTGCATGAAATAACTAGGTTCCGAATCTGATACAAACAATTGCCTAATCTGCGAAGAACAATTGCCAACTTATCAGATTGGACATTTAGGGATATGATATTCATTATCAATAAGTTTATAATAGTTCCTCTTTGTAAGGTATTGCACCATACCGTAACGAATTATATCATCTATCCTTCCTACAATAGGACGAAACAGCAAATTACCTCCACAAGTGCAGCAAGGCTTACACCACAAGCAATCCAACAAAAGAGAATTGATCCTATAATCTCCTCCAGGTACTGCAAAAGAAACTTGGTGACCTCATACGTATACAGCATTTTTATTGGTCAAGTAAAAAATACTAGATAACTGAAAGTCTTAACTCCATCAAAATCATTTTTCTTATGTGACAAATAACTGGCCTAAAGTCTAATACTAATATGACAATAAGGGAGCTGTTGCACTCCAGAAAAGTAATCTTGCACTCATCCCTTGTTATAAAACTAAAGGAGGGAGGAGCCCAAGATTGCTATTTTGAAATGCTATTAACAATTCCCAACAATAATAGTAATAATAACAAGAAAATACTAGTACAAAAATTTATAGTCTATAATACAAGAGAACTACAATTATTACCTTGAACCTATTTGTATAATGCAGCTGGCTGGAGAGATTATCAAGTACTGCAAAGACCAATTCCCTGAGGAGGGAAAAAGAAAATCTTTACAGATCGAAGAAACATAACATGAAAAATCAATACACCAAAACAGTGCAGATAGTGTACCTCTGACAAGGATCAATAGCAGAAACCACACATATCATGAATACAGCCTGCATGTGTCATGGAACGAACTTACCAAATAAGTATAAAAGCACAAGAAAACAACTTCTTACAATGTCATGAATTAAATTTATTATATGCAAATGTATTCTAATTTCTAAAAGAAGTAAATCTATAGATAACATCGTTGACTTGACTGACAAGTCATGGATGTCCGACCAGGTCAATTCTCACATTAAATATTGACAAACCTGCTTAGCTATCATGGTGGAGTTAAATGTTGCTTTGAGAGGCAACAATTGTGAGAACATGGAGTGTCACCTTGGAAAAAATAAAATAACAAAGCAAAAAGCTAAAAGCAATATATTTGGTATTCAGATAATCAGATTGCATGTTCTTTAATTTCAAGGATGGTCAATTTTAATTGTCTTGCATTGACCCACATTTCTCGTTCTTTAGCCTTGGATTCTTATTCTTTTGTTTTTTAAATATATTTTGCAGATTCGAACTCCTTTGAATTGCACATTAAGTTTCAATTTCAGAATGTGGGATATCAATTAAACAAAAGAAAGGATACATATATACCTCGAACTCTATTTTCTCACTATGCAAAGCAAGATGCATAAGAGTAATAATGACAGTCTCCATTGTGGGACGAGGCTGTGGACCGGCCGCTATGACCTCACTTGCAGCAACACATTTTTCTTGAGAGAAAAACACCAACACAACACCAAAGTTGGAACTAGATAAACAACAAAATAGATGTTAGCAAATAAAAATATTATTTGGTAATATAAAATACAAACTACATTTTCCATCCTTTAGGTTTGAGGTGATTTTCAAATTGGCCCATTAGGTTTTAACTTTCTTCACATTGCAACCTGAGGTCTTAAATTGTTTGCATCTTCATTAAATTGATGACATGGTGAGCCTGTAACCCGTAATTAGGTTGACATGCAAGTGACATTTGTACCAAATTGACTAAAAACTCATCAATTTAATAGAAAATAGACGTTCAAATACACAAAAGGTGTAAATTGATACAATTACAAAACCTTAGGGTGCAATGTGAGAGAATTAAAACCTCATATGCCCATTTGAAAATCACTTCAAACTTTGAGGGTGTAAATTAGCCCTAAAACATAATTAATATACTCATGACAAACAAAGCTTATAAGGGCAGGTTTGCACCCCATGGTGTAGTGAATTTCAGACTTTGGAGTCTAGGACCAAAAATATAAATAAAATAAACAATAACTACAACTACAATAATAGACTTCAAGTAAAATTGGCAGTAAGGATAATGACAATAATGAGTTATCGCATAATGCAACATCACCTCTAATAAATTTTTTAATTATATCTAGATATCTAAAATAATAAAATTACACCTTGAAAAGAGAACTCAAAATAAATAACAGGTAAACATAGGACATTAACAGCATTAACATGAGTTGTACCCTTTATATTTAAGAAGGGGGGGTAAGCAAACTTTATTCACCAGAAATAAGCACAGGCAGCAAGATATGATTATAATTGTAGAACAAACTTACCAAATATCATGGAATAATTCTTCATGTCCATCCCATGTTTGGAAAAGAACACCAATTTGTCTAGCCAGGGAGAACCGAACTCGATAATCAGGATCTCGGAACATCAACAGCAACCTTTCAATCAGTGTCTGGTAAAAGAGTTACATAACAGCAACCATTCAACGTGATAATAGAAGGAAAGAAGATTACAAAGTACCAAAACAAGAGGCCATTGGTTCTAAACTTGATAACCAATGTTTCTCCTGGTTGTAATTGAGAAATAATCACCTGACCAATTTGAGGACTAAGTAAAATAAAATTGCATATGCAATCAATTAGCTTAGCACGACAAAACCAGTCAAGATCACATTCAGCAACTTTGTTCACCAAATCTCCAAGATGCATCAAGCTCTGAGAATAAAAACAAAGGAAGTTATTCAGTTAAAGAATATAGTAACTCTTGCAACAACCATCCAAGGAAGAGATTTTATGATGGGATTGGATTGGAACCCAAAGGATACATTGTGATGATTTCTTTTGAGCAAGGAGTATTAAGACACAACACAATAAAATTTTCTTTTATTCAGAAAGAACGACAAGATTGTTACCTAAAAAAGTATGAGTTGCTCCACAGATATGCTACAACAACAACAACAACAACAACAAAGCCTTTTCCCACTAAGTGGGGTCGGCTATATGAATCCTAGAACGCCATTGCGCTCGGTTTTGTGTCATGTCCTCCGTTAGATCCAAGTACTCTCAAGTCTTTTCTTAGAGTCTCTTCCAAAGTTTTCCTAGGTCTTCCTCTACCCCTTCGACCCTGAACCTCTGTCCCGTAGTCACATCTTCGAACCGGAGCGTCAGTCGGCCTTCTTTGCACATGTCCAAATCACCAGAGCCGATTTTCTCTCATATTTCCTACAATTTCGGCTACTCCTACTTTACCTCGGATATCCTCATTCCCAATCTTATCCTTTCTCGTGTGCCCACACATCCCACGAAGCATCCTCATCTCCGCTACACCCATTTTGTGTACGTGTTGATGCTTCACCACCCAACATTCTCTGCCATACAACATCGCTGGCCTTATTGCCGTCCTATAAAATTTTCCCTTGAGCTTCAGTGGCCTACGACGGTCACACAACACGCCGGATGCACTCTTTCCGTCCAGCTCGTATTCTATGGTTGAGATCTCCATCTAATTCTCCGTTATCTTGCAAGATAGATCCTAGGTAACGAAAACGGTCGCTTTTTGTGATCTTCGCTAGATTGCTCCGGTCATTGGTGTGGATAAGTATATAAATGGATAGAGATAGGAAAGCAAACACAAGATGTACGTGGTTCACCCAGATTGGCTACGTCCACGGAATAGAAGAGTTCTCATTAATTGTGAAGGGTTTACACAAGTACATAGGTTCAAGCTCTCCTTTAGTGAGTACGAGTGAATGATTTAGTACAAATGACATTAGGAAATATTGTGGGAGAATGATCTCGTAATCACGAAACTTCTAAGTATCGGAGTGTGGTGTCGTCTTGACTTGCCTTATCTGTCTCATAGGTAGATGTGGCATCTTCTCTGGAAGTACTCTTCCTCCATCCAGGGGTGGTATCTTTAACTGGTGGAGATGCACAAGGTAATGTATCAATTTCACTTGAAGCTTACTTGTAGTTTCAGGCTTGGTCAAGCGCGATACAAACCATGTAGTAGGAGTCCCCCAAATCGCCGAGCTAGGGGGTCTGCTGAAAGAGGTGACAGACAAGGTAAGCAATCAGAGCTCCGACTGATTGTTCACCTTCTCCCCATCTTGCAGCAGCATGAAGGATAAAGAGAAGAAAAATGAGAAGAGATGATATGAGATACTTTTGCTTTTGAAGAAGTAACTTTCCACAGGCTTATTCTTGAACTGATCTGGAGGGTTTTCTGGTTTCCTCCAGAGTATAAGGCCGACTGAAGAATTTGAGGGTCAAAACAAGTCCATCAAATCTAGAGTACGTTCCACCCTGCTGATATGGGATACTTTTGCTTTTGACAGAGTAATGGATGTATCGGCACGTGTGCTGTTACGCTTGTCTCCACATGCTTCCTTGTATCCTTCGCACTTGCCCTATCTGTTCCTCAAGCAGATGCGAAATCTTCCCTGGAAACATAAGATGATGAAGATGAGTACTCGAGAGCAATGCCAGGTAAGTAATCAGGTAAGGGGTTCCAGGCAGTCAGTTCCTGGCTGGAAGCTTGATTCCAAGTGCTGACTGATTGCTCTCTTTCTCCTTGTCTTGCAGGTAAAAACAAGGCCAAAAGAAAAAACAGGGAAAAAAGCATGATATGGGATACTCTTGCTTTTAACCCTGATGATATGAGATATTCTTGCTCTAGTATAGCTTGTTTGCAGAGGTATTATCGGGGGGAAAGAAAGCTGAATATTTCGAAAGGTTTTGTTGGGAGTGCCCTCTCAGATATGATGAAGGGTTGAGCATTTTTGCAGGTCTGCCTGTCCGTTGGGGATGGAGGTCGACATATATAGGAGTCTCCCTAACACAACAAGTAGTAATGCTATTCCTTTACCCTGCTTGGTCATAGCACGGTAGTGGGAGCTGCCAGTTTCACATGTTTTAACTCTGTCAGAGCACTTTGAAAAAGTGGTCTGTGGTATCTGGCTCTCGAGATTCGGAGAACGATGCCTCTTCGATTTTTGAGAAAGCAATCATGCTGGGGGTCTGACTCTCGAGATTCGGAGAGCAGTGTCTCTTCGATTTTTGAGGAAGTAATCATGTTGGGAGTCTGGCTCTCGAGATTCGGAGGGCGGTGGCTCTTCGATTTTGGAGCAAGCAATCTTGTTGGGAGTGTTGTCTCGAATGTGAGTAAAGGTTGGACATGTTTGCTAGTCTACCTTGCCACGAAGCACAAAGGTTGACACACAGGGACTTTCCAATTATCCAGCAATGGTACTGTTCCTTTACCCTCTCTTCGATTTTGAGAAAGTAATCATGTTGGGAGTCTGGCTCTCGAGATTCGGAGGACGGTGCCTCTTCGATTTTGGAGCAAGCAATCTTGTTGGGACTGTTTTCTCGAATGTGAGTGAAGGTTGGGCATGTTTGCTAGTCTACCTTGCCACGAAGCACAGAGGTTGACACACAGGGACTTTCCAATTATCCAGCAGTGGTACTGTTCCTTTACCCTTGTGGGTAATAATATGGTAGCTAGACCTTCAAAATTTATGTGTCTAAACTTTGTTAGTGCTGTTTCTTTGCTATTCTTTTTTACCTTTCTTGGTCAGAGCGATGTAGTGGGAGCTGCAAGCTTCACGTGCTCAACTTTGGCAGAGAACTTTGGCAAAGTGATCTGTGGTACCCATGAGTTATTGTTGCGTGTGGGAAGTGGGTGATTGAACAGTAAGATTTATGTGCTTTCTCTACTTCACCAGAAGTCTTCGACAGAATGCCCATAATTTCTGCAAAGCTGAGTGTGCGTGTGACAGGTGCTGACAAGGCTAGAAAAGTAGGTGCCTCTTCGATTTCTGAGATCGGCCCTCGTGGTCTCTGAGCAGCCCAGCTTTTGAGAAAGCGAGCGCCTCTTCGATTGATTCGGAGAACGGTGCCTCACCGATTTTTGAGAAAGCAATCATGCTGGGGGTCTGGCTCTCGAGATTCGGGGAGCAGTGTCTCTTCGATTTTTGAGAAAGTAATCATGTTGGGAGAGTGGCTCTCGAGATTCGGAGGGCGGTGCCTCTTCGATTTTGGAGCAAGCAATCTTGTTGGGAGTGTTTTCTCGAATGTGAGTAAAGGTTGAGCATGTTTGCTAGTCTACCTTGCCACGAAGCACAGAGGTTGACACACAGGGACTTTCCAATTATCCAGCAATGGTACTGTTCCTTTACCCTCTCTTCGATTTTTAAGAAAGTAGTCATGTTGGGAGTCTGGCTTTTTAGATTCGGAGGACGGTGCCTCTTCGATTTTGGAGCAAGCAATCATATTGGGAGTGTTTTCTCGAATGTGAGTAAAGGTTGGGCATGTTTGCTAGTCTACCTTGCCACGAAGCACAGAGGTTGACATACATGGACTTTCCAATTATCCAGCAGTGGTACTGTTCCTTTACCCTTGTGGGTAATAATATGGTAGCTAGACCTTCAAAATTTATGGGTCTAAACTTTGTTAGTGCTGTTTCTTTGCTATTCTTTTACCCTTCTTGGTCAGAGCGATGTAGTGGGAGCTGCAAGCTTCACGTGCTCAACTTTGGCAGAGAACTTTGGCAAAGTTATCTGTGGTACCCATGAGCTATTGTTGCGTGTGGGAAGTGGGTGATTGAACAGTAAGATTCATGTGTTTTCTACTTCCCCAGAAGTCTTTGACAGAATGCCCATAATTTCCGCAAAGCTGAGTGTGCGTGTGACAGGTGCTGACAAGGCTGGAAAAGTAGGTGCCTCTTCGATTTCTGAGATCGGCTCTAGGGAGCCCAGCTTTTGAGAAAGCGAGCGCCTCTTCAATTTCTGAGATCGGCCTTCGTGGTCTTTGAGCAGTCCAACTTTTGAGAAAGCAAACGGCTCTTCGATTTCTGAGATCAACCCTCGTGATCTCTAAGCAGCCCAACTTTTGAGAAAGCAAACGCCTCTTCGATTTCTGAGCAGGCGCCTCTTTGATTTCTGAAGCTCCGTCGAGTGCAGATTTTTATAGAGGCTGGCATTAAGTTCCAAAGCACACTTGAATCTCCACCAGTAGAAGCTTCATTCTTGCACTTCTAAGATCTTGATTTGTCCGACCTCTTCTCTCTTCAACACCTTTGAAAATGTCTGGCCCCTCCGACCGTCGTTTTGACTTGAACCTTGTTGAAGAGGCAGCCCCGCCTTCTCCAGACAACACATATGGCGCCCATCCTTCGTCTCCCCAACTGGTCCTCTTACCGTTGGGGATTCCGTGATGAAGAATGATATGACCGCTGCGGTGGTGGCCAGGAACCTTCTCACTCCCAAAGATAACAGACTACTTTCCAAACGGTCTGATGAGTTAGCTGTTAAAGATTCGCTGGCTCTCAGTGTTCAGTGTGCAGGTTCTGTGTCTAATATGGCCCAACGCCTATTTGCTCGAACCCGCCAAGTTGAATCATTGGCGGCTGAAGTGATGAGTCTCAAACAGGAGATTAGAGGGCTCAAGCATGAGAATAAACAGTTGCACCGGCTCGCACATGACTATGCTACAAACATGAAGAGGAAGCTTGACCAGATGAAGGAAACTGATGGTCAGGTTTTACTTGATCATCAGAGATTTGTGGGTTTGTTCCAAAGGCATTTATTGCCTTCGTCTTCTGGGGCTGTACCGCGTAATGAAGCTCCAAATGATCAACCTCTGATGCCTCCTCCTTCTAGGGTTCTGTCCAGTACTGAGGCTCCAAATGATCCCCCTCCGGTGCCTTCTCTTTCTGGGGCTCTACCGACTGCTAAGACTTCTCCTAAGCAACCTTTGTGAAGGCTCCCTCTTGTGTGTTTATTTTGACTCATGTATATGTACATATTTGTAGCTTATCGGGGATATCAATAAATAAGCTTTCCTTCATTTCAACGTATTGTGTTAAATACACCAAAGCCTTCTTCGCTAAGTTCTTTGAATTTTCTTTTGTTGAAGCTTGTATGTTGAAGCTTTCTGAGTGGAGCATGTAGGTTGGGGTAGTGTTCCCTTAATTTCCCGAGTGAGGAAAACTTCTTGGTTGGAGACTTGGAAAATCCAAGTCACTGAGTGGGATCGGCTATATGAATCTTAGAACGCCATTGTGCTCGATCCTGTGTCATGTCCTTCGTTAGATCCAAGTACTCTAAGTCTTTTCTTAGAGTCTCTTCCAAAGTTTTCCTAGGTCTTCCTCTACCCCTTCGGCCCTGAACCTCTGTCCCATAGTCGCATCTTCTAATCGGAGCATCAGTAGGCCTTCTTTGCACATGTCCAAACCACCGTAACCGATTTTCTCTCATCTTTCCTTCAATTTCGGCTACTCCTACTTTACCCCGGATATCCTCATTCCTAATCTTATCCTTTCTCGTGTGCCCACACATCCAACGAAGCATCCTCATCTCTGCTACACCCATTTTGTGTACGTGTTGATGTTTCACCGCCCAACATTCTGTGCCATACAGCATCGCCGGCCTTATTGCCGTCCTATAAAATTTTCCCTTGAGCTTCAGTGGCATACGGCGGTCACACAACACGCCGGATGCACTCTTCCACTTCATCCATCCCAGCTTGTATTCTATGGTTGAGATCTCCATCTAATTCTCCGTTCTTTTGCAAGATAGATCCTAGGTAACGAAAACGGTCGCTCTTTGGTATTTCTTGATCTCCGATCCTCACCCCTAACTCGTTTTGGCCTCCATTTGCACTGAACTTGCACTCCATATATTCTGTCTTTGATCGGCTTAGGCGCAGACCTTTAGATTCCAACACTTCTCTCCAAAGGTTAAGCTTTGCATTTACCCCTTCCTGAGTTTCATCTATCAACACTATATCGTCTGCAAAAAGCATACACCAAGGAATATCATCATCTTGAATATGTCCTGTTAACTCATCCATTACCAACGCAAAAAGGTAAGGACTTAAGGATGAGCCTTGATGTAATCCTACAGTTATGGGAAAGCTTTCGGTTTGTCCTTCATGAGTTCTTACGGCAGTCTTTGCTCCTTCATACATATCCTTTATAGCTTGGATATATGCTACTCGTACTCCTTTCTTCTCTCTAAAATCCTCCAAAGAATGTCTCTTGGGACCCTATCATACGCTTTTTCCAAATCTATAAAGACCATGTGTAAATCCTTTTTCCCATCTCTATATCTTTCCATCAATCTTCGTAAGAGATAGATTGCCTCCATGGTTGAGCGCCCTGGCATGAACCCGAATTGGTTGTCCGAAACCCGTGTCTCTTGCCTCAATCTATGCTCAATGACTCTCTCCCAGAGCTTCATTGTATGACTCATTAGCTTAATACCCCTATAGTTCATGCAATTTTGTACGTCGCCCTTATTCTTGTAGATAGGCACCAAAGTGCTCGTTCGCCACTCATTTGGCATCTTCTTCGTTTTCAAAAATCCTATTGAAAAGGTCAGTGAGCCATGTTATACCTGTCTCTCCCAAAACTTTCCACACTTCGATTGGTATATCGTCTGGGCCTATTGCTTTTCTATGCTTCATCTTCTTCAAAGCTACAACCACTTCTTCCTTCCGGATTCGACGATAAAAGGAGTAGTTTCTACACTCTTCTGAGTTACTCAACTCCCCTAAAGAAGCACTCCTTTCATGTCCTTCATTGAAAAGATTATGAAAATAACCTCTCCATCTGTCTTTAACCGCGTTCTCTGTAGCAAGAACCTTTCCATCCTCATCCTTGATGCACCTCACTTGGTTTAGGTCCCTTGTCTTCTTTTCCCTTGCTCTAGCTAGTTTATAGATATCCAACTCTCCTTCTTTGGTATCTAGTCGTTTATACATATCGTCGTAAGCCGCTAACTTAGCTTCTCTGACAGCTTTCTTCGCCTCTTGCTTCGCTTTTCTATACCTTTCACCATTTTCATCGGTCCTCTCCTTGTATAAGGCTTTACAACATTCCTTCTTAGCCTTCACCTTTGTTTGTACCTCCTCATTCCACCACCAAGATTCCTTTTGGTGTGGGGGCAAAGCCCTTGGACTCTCCTAATACCTCTTTTGCTACTTTTCGGATACAACTAGCCATGGAATCCCACATTTGGCTAGCTTCCCCCTCTCTATCCCACACACATTGGGTGATTACCTTCTCTTTGAAAATGGCTTGTTTTTCCTCTTTTAGATTCCACCATCTAGTTCTTGGGCACTTCCAAGTCTTGTTCTTTTGTCTTACTCTTTTGATATGTACATCCATCACCAACAAGCGATGTTGATTAGCCACGCTCTCTCCTGGTATAACTTTGCAATCCTTACAAGTTATACGATCCCCTTTCCTCATTAGAAGAAAATCTATTTGTGTTTTTTGACGACCCACTCTTGTAGGTGATCACATGTTCTTCTCTCTTCTTAAAGAAGGTGTTGGCTAAGAAGAGATCATCATATGCCATTGCAAAATCCAAGATAGCTTCCCCATCCTCGTTTCTCTCCCCAAAACCATGGCCACCATGAAAACCTCCATAGTTGCCTGTCTCCCTGCCCACGTGTCCATTTAAATCTCCTCCTATAAATAACTTCTCCGTCTGAGCAATTCCTTGCACCAAGTCTCCAAGATCTTCCCAAAATTTCTCCTTCGAACTCGTATCCAACCCTACTTGAGGTGCGTACGCACTAATCACATTGATAAGTTCTTGTCCTATTACAATCTTTGATTGCCATGATTCTATCTCCTACCCTCTTGACATCTACAACATCTTGTGTACCAAGGTCTTGTCCACGATGATGCCAACACCGTTTCTCGTTCTATTTGTGCCCGAATACCAAAGTTTAAACCCTGAGTTTTCTAGATCCTTTGCCTTACTACCAAACCCACTTAGTTTCTTGTAGGCACATAATATTTATCCTTCTCCTCACCATAACTTCCACTACTTCCATAGATTTTCCCGTTAAGGTTCCTATATTCCACGTTCCTAAACGCATTTTGCTCTCTTGAACTCTACCCTTCTGTCCTAGCTTCTTCACCCTCCCCCGTCTAATAGGATCAAAGTACTTCTTTTGTGTGTCCCGGGTAAAGTTGATAGGAGCATATGCTCCCAAACAACTTTGAGTGGAGTCGTTCGAAAAGAAGTTTCTATGGCCCCCTTGCTCATTTAACACTGCATCCGGGTGCCGATGGAGATACAGCGACCCTTGCTCACTTATCACTGTGCTCAGGCCACACAGCGCGCCACTTACGGGTGACGCCCTAGCTTTAGCGCGATTTTGTTCTGGATTCATTTTCATAAGGATTCGACGTGTAGGTTTCATCAAGGTTTTTTATTTCTCACTTGCGCAATTATGCTTCTAAATCTATAGCATTTTTATTATCGAGAAATCAGGTAATTTACTTTTCTTCTTGGAGCTTGAAACTTATAGATTGTTAGTACTTCTCCTTTCATGTAAAGAAAGGTGCATAAAACTTAACTATTTTTCGCTATTGCACATATGTAAGTATACAAGAAACAGAACTTTATCAAAAGAAAAGGTTTGGTGCATACGAGGTCAAGATGTCCAGAAATTAAAGAAAGGGAACATATATCAAAACAACCGTCAACCATCAAATTTATTGCAAAATAGAACAAGAAAAGTTTGGAAGTACCTGCTCATATCCTCTTTGCCCCAAAGAGACGATGACAAATTTATCCTTCCTGATAGAGTCCAAGGATGATAAGGTGCCCAACAAACCACGGATAGCAGATAACACCATAGCACTATCAAGCTTAAGTCTGGCTTGCATCTTAACCATTTCATTCATTAAATTGATCTGCAAACAAGGCAAAGCTTAAACATATGACTGATCAAACATTATTTTGAAACAAATCACAACTATTAACTAACTTAACATCTCTTAAATCTTTAACTAAAATTAAGATGAGTTGTAAATTACCATGTCTGTAAGATTTTCATGAGATGACCAGTATGGATGTTGACAAAGAAAGAGCAGAATATTTTCACGAACCTGAGTTGAAATGACAAATGTAAAAATCAAAAGGGATGTGATTATTGCATGCGTGGAATTCAGGTATCAAACGTACGGGGAAACATACCATTTGATCAGTTTCTTTTGACAAGAGATCATATAGGACATCCCAAGTAACGTGTGAAACTGAGAAAAAATTTGAAATAAGCAAAATCATGCCCAGCTTCCATTTCTCTATGGAAGAGGATACACCACCACCAATTTTATCACCAATAGTTAATACATCCACATCTTTGGAATCATCATTCACATCCAACTCCATGTCCATGATCCTAATTTTACTTCTATCAGAAGAGAAGTCTTGCTGAGTCACATCAAACTTATGACTACTTGCACTGCTAGAGTATTCTTCATACACACTAGCCAATGATTTTAAAAGCCTCTCCATCATTTGCATGATAGCACCATAAAGGTCAACATCCGCATGATTTTGATCTCTCCACCTCATGAATATAGGGGAGTAAAGAAAACTCTTTAAGGAAGCAACAATGGAGCTTGTTCCATTAGAGACAAGATCTGAGCCCAAGCAAGCAAGAGGCAGAATATCATTGTGGTTTCCTTGGGTGGCCTTAACTGCACAATCCAGCCATTCTAACAGGTATTGGCCCAATTTTGAAAGGAATAATGATGCTTCCTCTCTTTGCCTGGAATAACATGTATGGTATAAACAACTCAGAGCGTGTAAAGAAACAAGATACCCAACAATATAAAGGAAAAGGTCAGATGTCGATGTTCGAAAAATGTACAACTTCAACCACAATGTAATATAGTTCAACTGCAAAATTTTACAGCATGGCATAAAAGACACAACCAGAACATCAGCATGTAGACACACGGTGTATCGTGCATACTGTTTAATATGACACGTCTACAACTCGAGAGGTAATACACGATGTTGCCCACAAGTGCAACAATGACTCAAAAGACAGATTTCATAGAAGTATCTATGATGAAGGAAAAACTCATAAAGACAACCATTAAAGTTCTAGGATGAATGGCTGTTGAGAAAGAGTCACAATATTTATAGTTCTTAAGAACATATGCATGTCAAGAGCACCGAATCACAAAGCCTAATTAGTGAGTAGTGAATGATCAAGTATTTTACTTAGCAAGAGAAGTGCATACCAAAACAGCAGCTCAGTAGTAAGAAGATATTTTGTCTTACTAGACAAAACCAATAAGTGGTAACCAACATGATATTATCGAATACAAATGTAGACAAGAAGATGAGACAAACCTTGTCAATATTGAACCATAGATGAAGTTTGACAATAGCGTACATATAAAGAACACATCAGATAGAGGCCTCCTTCCCATCTCCTTCTCTACTAGAGATTCAAGAATAAAGGTTTCCATCTCAAAAAACAGTGGATCCCTTAATTGTCGCGGAAGCCATACACTTGGATGGGTTTGGGATGGAAGAACCTGAATATGGTCGTAATGTATTAAAAATATAATCAATTAATCCCAATAGATGGGTGCCTATAAAACTAACATGCCAGTACCTCAACGCTGGAACCTGGATTGATACTAGCGAGAACTTCCACATTGCAGTCAAACAGCCCATGCAGACAATCGTGCTCAGGATCTTCTGGCTACAATTTGGAATTGAAAATCTAGTTCAGTTCGAATGGACACCAAATAGCACCATTGAAGTTTATAAGCCAAATGGAAACCAAGGTGAATTATTGCACACCTTATCAACAGCCTCAGTAATATCGACAAAAGAGTAAGATAAAGGAAGTCCTCTACACCATTGATCAAAAGGAGTGCAACCGGCACAGAGAGCATAAACAGCTGCAGGTAACAATACCACCAAGTGCTCATTAAGCATGGAAGACTCCTGCACAAGAAGGACCAGTTATAACTAACCAAAAATGACTTCCAATAACAAAGTGTAACAAGTTCCAATAAGGGAAGTCCAATATAAGAATAATTGAATATCTATTAGATAGATACAACATATTGTATTTGAAGTTAAAGTAACAGACCATCAACTGAAGTTGACCCAGAAGTTCTCTCAGGAGGTTTTTTCTCAGATGTAAAATGTCACGAACATCACCCTGCACAAACATGAAGATAGTAGATATAACATATTTCACAATTTGGGCCCGGTCCCTAATTTAAGCTTTATAAGAAGATATAAACCTAGTTATCAGCACATGGACATGTATATGTATAGGATTGTCTGTCTGTCTGTGAATGCACATGCACATGTATAAGTGTCACTCAGAAGTTCAGAACTCTCTTCATCAAAAAGAATTACATTAATCTAACATACGTTGAGCTACAATAATTCAAACAAACGTAAGCCATGTCAAGACTTAATATTCAGTGATCCTCAAGTAGACCATTGCATTGAATAAATATGGTAGAATCTACTTTGTCTATCTTGTACAGATGTTCACTTATCTGAGGAAGACAGTATCACATGCATTTTCTAAATAAAATAACACAGTTTCACATTTTACAAAAGTAGGGGCAAAAATGAAAAATAATGGATATATAAGTAGACAAACAAGGAGGCAGTGACAATAAAAGAATTATTAAGAGCTGAAGAAAAAACGGGATGACACAAAAGATAAAATCTAAAGGTTACAAATCACGCACTTACTTGAGTACCTTTCCTCGAGAAGTAACATGAAATAAAGTACAAGACAGACCTGAAGGAAATCATAATCATAGAATTAAACACCAACAAAGTAATCTAAAAATTCTATCAGGAATGTTAATTAGATTAATTAAGGATTACCAAATAGTGGGCTAAAGAAAATAGTACAGAGTAATTGTAGAATTAAACATAATAATTGATTGACAGGCAATGCATTACGTACACTGATGGCATTTGTTTGAATAACCTAAGGTCCCAAACCTCCTGAGGTACTACACATTTATGCACAAGATCCTGGAAAACAAGAAAGCGTGAATTAAAAAAATCTAGAATAAAATATTCAGAAGTGCAATAACTAACCGCATCAACAATTGAAAATAGTAGAAACCAGTCTAAACAAGACACATTCTCACACTCACATTTGAAATTAAGTTTCCAAGGAGCACCAGGGCAGCATCTACCTGTGCAAGGGCACCCAAAATGAAAACAAAACAATATTTTGAGAATAGTTCAGAAGCTCCAAACAGTAACTTGATATGATGCACTTGAGAACTTTGAACATATTAATTCACAAATTCTAAAAGATATTATACATCTCTTGTTCCATTTACTTCTGTCCATTAAAACTTAGGCTCTGTTTGTATTAATGTGTGCAGAGCCTACACTGATGCACATCTTGCTTTCTTTTTCAATAAAAAACATTGTGTTTCCTATCAAACAGAGAGAACTGAAACTTACAACTGCAGCTACATTACTAAACAATGGCAACCCCTGCATCAGGCAACTCCACACTACTTGCCAACCACAATCAAACTGCAAAAATATTGTCCAGCAACCCAGTCAACACAAATACCAATTTAAAGAAATAGTTTTAAAGATAGCAATACAAAAAGAATATAGTTGATTCTCGATCCCGCAAAGTAAATGCAAAGAAAAGACACCCCCTGAAGTTGAAAATGTTTGAGGTACTTCTTTAACGATCGTCTTACATAAAGTGGCCCCTAGGAAAAATAATTTGATAGATGAAGTCTCCAAATAAGAACCTATTTGGTACTTTTTTTTTTCTCAAACCTATTCCGTACATCACTGATATTTGCAATCCCCAAAGACAGCACTAAACAACTTAGTCCTTTTTGCCCCAAAAAAATAACTTAGCCCTTGTATAGTACAAACCCAGGGTTGTTTAACTGTAGTTTACCTACAAATAGTCTAAAAACAATCCTTCAGTTGAACCCCTTGAATGTAATAGGCTTACATCTAGAAAGGGACAACATAAAAAAGAAGCAAAGTCGTCAAAAGAATTACAACAAAAGAAACAAAAAAACAACAAACAAACAAAAAAACAAAACAAAAACAGACAAGCACCTCATTCAAGGGAGACGAGCTTGACAGTTTCTTCAACTTTGAATCTGGAAGCAACAGCACAGAAGAAAGTTCCTGCAAGCTCCTTTAGATGCATGTAAATATATAAATATAAGCTCATAAGAAGCAGGGGATTAGAGAGGTAGAGGGAGAATCTACAGGTGTCAACCATATATTAATAACCAGTGGATGTTTGTGCAGATATACGAATACAAAACTTAGTGGAGAACCATATATGGCAAAGCAATATTGAAACGGACCACCAATGTCACATGGTTATACACAACCTGGCTACACACTTAACAAGATTTACATAAAAAGTAAGTGTGTTTATGGTAAATTAGTGCAGCATACCTCAGTGTCCATAGCAGACCATCATAAGAATGTACCATGTTTGCATCATTCAAAATTCTGCAATATATTCCATTTCATCAGCACAAGAATGAGAACAAATTAAAAACATCACCAGTTTATATAGTATGGAACAGATTTGCAATATTTTACACTTGAGTTGACTAACTGTCCAGAAGAAATTCCCTACACAAGCATGCATAGATACTCATCTTATATTACAACTTACCTATATCAGTACTTTGGGGGAAGAGTAAAATATTGGGCATCTTTTTGGGCTTCGGTCACTAAAGAGTTTAATAATTGCTCTCTATCTCAAATACTGTGGGATTTGTTAGCAGCAGTTAAGTGAGCTAGGTCTAGAATTGGTTGCTGTAGCCAAATCCTATTGGGATCTTCCTTTCTATTTTGTTGGTGGACTTCTTATCCACTTCTGTGTATTTCTCTATTCTTTAATAAATTTGTTTCTTCTCAAAAAAAACTTACCTATATCTGTTTTTTTTAAGGAAAACAAGGTGGGGCGTTCATCCAACAGAACCACAAATTTCAAGGAGTTTATCTCTTCTTTTATTTTTCTAATGTATATAATATATATATATATATAGTTACATACGTACATATCAGGAAACAAAATATGGCACATGATCTATACAAGACTCAGAACAACACCAAGTATACAACTCCAAAATAATATACAACAATTAAAGAGAAGCATTCAAGGTTCAGAGTTCAGACTGAATAAAACTCAAGTAATATCCTAGTACTCATGTCAAAGTATCAGCACTTGTTCTTGCAGAGCAATTATATTAAAAGAAGCATAGAGAGAGACATGAGAATAAATGATAGTTTGATCAAAGCTAAAAAATGAGACAATTATAACTATCACATGCCACAAAGTACCTTTGAAAGCTTGCACATATGCCCTCGAACCAGTACATGAAAAGATCCTTACTAATGTGTGTGTGGTACTTACGAATCAGACAACAAAATGAAGCATTCCTGGATTCATCAAACCAGCATGTCAAAAGCATCAGTGCCACATTGACCAATAATTTATCATCCATTTTTATACTTGTTTCACATTAGATTATAGAAAGTTGTTTCATGCTAAAGTAAGTCCAATATCAACAGATAGAGCTGTGCACAAGATACCACACAAGGAAATTAAACATAATCAGTCAACTTAAACTTACCATAACCATTTTCCTTTCATGAGAGCCTCTCTCAATTGTGCAGCAGCATGCTCTCTCTTGACCCGCTTTTCAGTTGACGGTGCTTTAGTCATGTTGACAAGCCTGAAGAGTGAAAACACAAAATTATTTTTCTGTTTTTGATAGGAAACAAGAACTTTATGGAAATGAATAAAAAATGAGATGAAAGAAAGGAATTAGCCATCTACCAGATCGTCAGTCTCAAGAAAGCAAAGGAAAAAAACACTAACAAATTGTTTACTTATCCAGAGTGTTTAAAAATAAACAAACAAAACCAAGACTTAGATTTAACCTACTCCAACCCCACTCCATCTAAACCAAGAGTTGGATTTAAGACCTACTCCAACCCCACTCCACCTTAAACTACTGGAGCCAAAACTGTTCATCATATATGACAGAATTGGTATATTGCCTTAGCAAACCACCCAAAAAAAATCCAAGTCAATGTCAAGAAAATTAAACCGTAGTGATGATGTTGAAATTTATGCAAGTTCCACAATGAGATGCAAGTACAGCATACTGAATGTCTGGAGTAGATACCCGATAAAGTACAGCAGCTGCAAGCTCAACCAAACCACAATGTGAGCTACTTAAAATTCCAAACTTGTCATCTTTAGCTCCATCAGCCCTGCAAATGCAGAAGGTTTTAAATGAACATCTATTAAAGTCACAATTGTAAACTTCTCCTAGGAATACCATAAGAATAACAAGTCAATTTTAAAACTGAAAACAGAAATGATTGAGAAGGAAAAATAGAAAGTCCACCTAGGCACATTAGTATTGGATACGTAGCTTTGATCCAGCTCCTTGTAAACTATGTCAAGAAGTTGATGTACCAAAAAACTACCATCAGCAGCACCTCTAGTCATATTCAGCTGTAACCTTGCATAAAAAATAAGTGCATCCTGCAATATATAAATATATATAAGTACAAGTGCAAGCACAATTAGGAATTCAGGATACTCAAAAATATATGTAAACTGCCAAAATTGCTTTGAAATGCACTATTAAGAAACCTTAAGGGCTCGATCATGGGTTGTCAGCCAACACCGGAACACAAATTGCTGCACAGCATTATGGATCTCCAAGGACTCAGAACCCAAATTTGGACCATCTTTCAACAAAAATGTATTAATGCAGTCCATAAGTTTGCGTGAAATCTTTCCTTCATCCCTGGGCAAGATGCAAGATGAGAAAACGTCATGTACTCCATCATGAATATAGAAAAGGAAATGCCAAATCAGCCGGCGGGGGTTGGGGCGGGGGGGGGGGTTTTGGTTACCTAATGTGAGAAAAAATTCTGACAAACCACTCAACAATCTCTTCCCTAAGATTTGGTAGGAAATCTCCAGGGGGATTCTCCAAAAGTGAATGGAGAGTAAGAATGCAGCGAAAGACCTCCTCCTTGGTATTATATTGGCTCAAGCTTTCGTCTATCTTATCCATGTACTTCTGTATTAGGCCTTATCAATGCAGAGCAGAGTAAGATAATTAAGACAAGTTAAATAACGACAGTGTAAATGTAAGTTGTAACTAACAATCAAGAATAGATATTAGCTAGAGGTTATTTGTTGAAATCATTGACTCACTGCAATAGGTGCGCCTCTTCATCTGAAATCGATAGTCTCTGACAGTTAATAGATGCCGGAGAATAATCCCATATTCCAATTGAAAGCTTGGGACATTATCATTATGTAAGACCTCACATATATGATTAAAAAGATTTTTAACCACAGCTAACAAAGGCAACCGCTTGCCTGAAATGATGATGAAAACATGATGATGAAAACAAGCATAAGCATAATTAGATGTAGAATGCTTAATTAGGTGGCTACTTAAACGTCTTCAAAGCTTAATCCATTGACTGCTTTTAATACCTGAAAACTTATCATCCTCTGCGTGTTGCACAACTATCCTTAGACTCTTTGCACATATCAACTTGGGCAATCGCCGCTTGCTTGAGGAGGATATCTCCAATGAAGCACACTGAATCAGCAAATTAGTAAAGAAAGGCCAGGTCTCAGCTGCAGAAAAAATACAAGCAGTTCACTTCACTTTTCGTAAAAATATTATATATGTATTACTATAAACATTGCATTACAGTGAGGAATTTCATCTGGTTTAAGCTCTGCAGTCTTCTTTCCAAGATATTTACAGAAACCAATCGATCTTTCTCCTTCTAACCATGTATTCAAAAACTTTATCCCTTCCTGCATATACACCAAAACATTAATCATACAACAATTTCCTCAAAACGGAAAAATAAATACTGTGTTTGGCACCAAAAATACAATAGCATAGACAACTCTGCAGTTCAGAATCACCATTTAACACAGAATTTCAGAAAACTTTCGCTCATTCGAAGCTCAAACAACTTTTCGACCCCATTGAACTCGGATTTTATGTTAAATTTCGGGAAATTAAGTGGACATTAAGCTTCTGTTCAACTTTCTAAACTTAAAATACGTTTCTACAAATGGAATCATCATAACTAATCAGAACAGATGATCCTCTTGGCTTTTCAGTTATGCAGTTCTTCAGATTCCTGAAAGTAATTACTACCCATTTTATCAATTTCATTTTCTTTTCGTATGACTGCTTTTTCCCAGCGACCAAAAAGACGGTAACGACCAAAATGGTAAGAGAGAGAGTAGAGTCGAAGATAGATAGATACTTCTCGAGTCTTGGCTTTATCGGAGGAGAGCTTGGAGACGATCTCCTGGACGTCTCTGGAAGTCACCATCGGAGGCCGCCGGAGCTCCGATGACGAACCCGGCGGTCTGAGCGTGAGAGAGTGGAGCTAGGGTTTCGTTTCCTGGCGGAAATTGGGTGGTTTGGGCCGGAGAAGATGGCGGGAAGACGGAAGGTGGGGAGAGTGGGAGTGTTGACGAGAGGGGAGGGGGTTTTGTTTGGTAAAGGGTTTAAGACAGCAAAGGTTTATACTTGCTGATTTTTTGGTTAATACGGCCAGGCAGGCGGACAGGATCCAGGAAGAAATGGGAAAGTGGATGGAATCTTGTGATTCTCAAATCATAACAGTTTATCGTATCGTGTGGTCAGTTTTTATTAAGTATTATTTGTATTTAATTTTAAATAAAAAAATCAAATGATTTATAACTACACCATATACGATGAATGATTAAGATGTGAGAATTTTTATAATCTCCACAATTCAGATCAGGATGGAATCCAAATCCTGGAAAAATGTTAACTTAGCGGGAATGAATGTTATGTAAGGTAGTAAACCAAGTTAGACTTTTAGTGACAATCTTTAGAAGTCTTAAATAAAAGTCCTAGCATGGTAAGTTTTTCTCCACGCATGTACGGATGTGTTAGATGAAGGATTCTATAAATAGATGTATGTTTATAACCTCTTTACAACACAGTACGTCAAGAGTGAAAAGTAATAATACGAATATCGCTGAAGTAGCCGGAATCCGGACCGTCCTTCTAGAAGTAGATCGGCCCAGTCCAACCACTTTCCCCAGGAATTTTGAAATCTCAATTGCTTTTTATATTTGGAGAACTTTGTGGGCTTCGTTAAGTTCCTTTGTTGTTGGGCCTTTGATTCGAAATTGGTCCATCATGAGACTCAGGGAATCGCCTTGGGCCTGGGGTGAGTGGATCGTAGATGTCAAAAGGCCCAAGGGAAGCATTTCGTAAATCAGTTAGCTCTTTCCTATTTCTCTTCCTTCATCATGCCCTTCACTTTCCAAAAGTAGAATACAAGTCCAACCCAAATATCCTATAAATTTGTTCGCTGGGATTCATGAGAGTCGTGAGAAATAATAGTCTACGGGATAAAGATTTCAATTTCTTCACGTACAGTTTGTAATTAGATAAACACATGATTGCACACAAATTTGTCATATAGAAGAATAGGCTACGGGCGTGTTGGTCATAACTAAATGTAGGAGTTTGAGACTAAAATGGGACTCGAAAAGAAGTTTTATTTACATTCTCAATACTTTGTTTTTAAGAAGAAGAATAAGAGTACGATATTTCATTCATTGAAAAAATGATATTAAAAATACATATCTAAGCCTCAAAAGGGTCCCTACGAACTAGATCTAAAAATATCACAATAAAGCATCACGAATGGCAAAGCAATGACTAGACTTCAAGTACTTTCCTGAGCTCATCGGGAAACACAGGATTACACATATCAATGAGATCCAAAACCTTGTGTTTACTGTGTGTGGGGCAAAAAACGATGATTACAATGTTTTATGGTAATAATTCTACACCAAAATAAAGTAAAGATAAAGTGAGAACAGGAAGAGACTAAGAATGATTGTCAAGAAGATTGCCGCCGATCCTAAAACCAAAGGCATGAGCCCGCGGCAAAGAACGTTGTCATTACTTAATCACATTGATATATGCCATCATTCAAATATGTTTGGTGATATAGCTTTTCATGGTATCAATCAATTAATAATCAAGGTTTAATAAAGTTTCTTAGTATTGTTAATTGCTGGCCAATTTAGATTATTAGGTAAACTTTATAGCTGCAAAACCTACTTATAATAAAATAAGATTATGAGATCTTATGTGTTTTGATGTGAATTAGAATTTGGATTAGGAGACACGATCTGAACGTAATCCTCATGTATATAATATACATAGAGGGGAGGATCTGTGGCACAACTTTTTGGGCAAATTACATAGTATCCCTCCAGGTTTGAAGTCTATTACAACCTCATACAACAACTTTAAAACATTTCACTTTCATACATCCAGTACCATTTTATTTCAAAATAACACCTATATTTCCCATCCATTAGTATGTTAAATGTTGACATGGCTGCCACATTTGTGCTGATGTGGCTGCCATGTGGCAAAAATAATAATTTTTTTAAAACCTAAATATTCTAAATATTAAAATAAAAAAAATAAAAAAACTGAAACCTTCCCTCATCCTCATCGCTTCTCCCCGCAATCCCCAAACCCATATCCCCCATCTTCATCTTCTTCCCTGAAACCCAGAAAGAAAAGAAGAAAAAAAAAAAAAAGCCCACTTCGGTTCGTCTTTTCCCCCCATCTTCATCTTCTTCCCCAACCCCCTACTTGCAACCTAGAAAAAAAAAAAAAAAAAAAAAAAAACCCAGATCCTATCTCGCCATCACCGGTTCGTGGAATGGGGGGTGTGTAGAGAAGGAAAGAGGGTGGGTGCGGAGGGAATGAGGGCCGCGGGTTGGGGGGTGCACAGGGAGGGTCACGGGTGGGGGGGGGGGAGGGGGTGTTCTGGGTTTCTAGTTTTGGGGTGGGGGACGCGGGTCGGGTGGGGTGGGGTGGGGTGGGGGGGTTATCATTTCTGGGTTGCAGGGAAGAAGATGAAGATGGGGATATGGGTTTGGGGGTTGCGGGGAGAAGAGAGGATTTTGGGAGTTGCAGAAAGAGGGGTGGGGGGAGGAAGGGATCTTGGTTTCGGGATTTTCTAGTTTTTTTTTTAATTTTAATATTTAGAAGATTTAGGTTTTTTTTAAATAAAAAATTATTTTTTTCCATGTGACAGCCACATCAGCACAAATATGGTAGCCACGTTAGCATTTAACAGACTAATGGATGGAAAATATAACGGAGATGTTATTTTGAAACAAAATGGTACTGGATGTATGAAAGTGAAATGTTTTAAAGTTGTTGTATGGGATTGTAATAGACCTCAAACCTGAGGGCTACTATGTAATTTACCTCAACTTTTTTTATACAATTTTTCACACATGTTTTTGTAGGACTTACTCCGTAATATATTTCAAATATCTGAACTGTCTATCTTTCAAAACATCATTCATGGATCATCCTTGCAAAAAATTAGACAAATCCAAAGTCATTAAGACATTCATTTGTAGTAAAGAAAATTGATTAATACGGTTCTACAAAGAAACCCTAAACATTTAATCCAACAGTCATATGATTTTATATCTGGGTGATTTTTATAGACATAATTTTTTTTAGAAAATACCTAAAAGATAGATGGTTCGGATCGTTGAAATACATTACAGCGTAGACCCCACCAAAAACGTGTATCAAAAGTTGTGTAAACAAAATGATGACACATATCCATCCCATGTATAAATATTATGTAGTCCACTAAATAAGTTAGCCACTTAGCCATTGTTAAGCCTATTTTCTTGACTAATACAAATTTAATGGCATCCCTCAAATGTTGTTTAATTATCATATGATTCTCAAATAACTAACAATTAATTCGTACAATCACACATAACACAAGCCATAAACAACAATAGGACAAAAATATCCAAAAGAGGGATGAGGCAAAGAGGGTGTAGCTTATTAAGCTACGGGGACACTTGGTCGGGTTCAATAGACACGATTGGGACCCAATTGATATGACTTCGTAGGAAAAATAGTAGAGACAACAATCATTCTGTCATATAACTAGAGTCTAGAGAACAAGAAAGAATAGCAAGTAGGCTAGGTTATTTTCTTTTCTCACAAACAAAACAATAGGCTATTTTTATAACAATAATAACTCAATCATAACGAAGTAAGGTTAAGAAATGGAATGGACAACTGGATATCGAACTCACTATATTTTCTCATGGATGAAAGAATCTTGTATTTGACAATTGGATCGGGTACAATGTTTGATTGCTCTCATTGAAACGACCTTGTATTTCAATGCGCATATTTGATTAACACCCATTTCACCCTAGTTATGAGTAAAAACTCTTTTGCAACTCATAAATATTTGTTTAAAAGTGAACCACCAGTCTAATAATATTTTGCTACGTAAAAACTTGGTGACAAAAAATAATCTCTCCGCGTTGGCAGCCGTATGGAAGTAGAGACAACTAATACTACATTTAAAGATGAGTCGATGGAAGGATAAAACTAAAAAAAGATAACCGTACAGTACAGGGGCTGAAGATCCTGTCCACCGACCCAGTAGATTGGTCAATTATTAGGTGGAGTTTTTTTTTATAAGAAGAGAATTTTTGTGACTTGTTTGCTATAAATATGCAGCACGCCGCAGTCACCGTTGGAGGTGTCGCGCATGCGAATAAGAGTCTGACTATATGGTGTGATCGATCTTGCAGCAGACATATATATATATATATATAGATGAAGAGAAAGTGCACATAATCTACGACTATTGGTCGTATTGGTAAATAAACCACACGTTTCTTTCTTCTTTCACATTCATGAGAATGAATGTGGAATGTGGTACTCCTACCATACACAAAATTAAGCAATATTATATTTACTATGTTTTTGTTAATTTATCTTACCTTTCTCAACTTCCAAATTTAACTCACTGCAAAACCAACCACATGACAAGAATGAAGCAACTCCCATAACAAGCACAAATGGAAAAATATATTGTGCAACTCCCTAAACCCTAAATCATTCCAGGTTGGAGTCGGCTATGCGGAGCTTTCTTCTATACATAAGTTGCACATACACAATTATGCGTTTGTCCCTCTCTTTTGTTGCATAAGTTATTATCTTTTGTTTAGTTTGAGAGATGTTTATCCTTAAATCCAAAATTTATAATACATCATAAAATTTCATATAAAATATGTTTATATCACAATTTTTTTAGTTAGACTGTATCACAATATTAAATATGTAATTACGCGTTTATCTTTTGATAATCACATTGCTGATCTCACCTATACTTGGGATTTTTGCAATCAGCCCCTAAATTTAGCACCATTACTAAAACCCAAGATAACCTAAACCCTAATTGGCTCCCAAGATCAAGTTGGGGTTGGTTTTTGCTCGAGTGTCTGCACATCATTAACATATATTGCCCTAACCTTGCTAGCAGAAGGCATAGGGATCGACAGATATCTCACAGTAGGGTCCATTGCTTGGCCTCAAAGAACCTGATTGACTGCACCTATAACGAGGTTTTAGTTTGTTTGACCACCACATCACAATAACCTAATATTCAAACCCTAGCTAGCTAGCTAGGAATGCTTTAGACACCATTTCATACATACATAATATCATATGT